CCGTCAGACCTTGCACGTGCTCCCAGTCCTACTGTCACGCGTCTCCTCGCCACTGTTGTCACTGACCCTTCCTTTGAGTCCTCTGCTGCGTCTGCTCTAGTCGCTGAGCTTGTTGACTTTGCTGCCGCCTGTCGTCTAGACTACGCCGCTAGCCTTGTTGCTGAGTCTGAGTCTGTCTGTCCTCCGTCCGTCGGGGGTGAGTGTGCTCTTGGCACGGACGTTCTTGAGGACAGACAGGAGCAGTTTGAGTGCTTTGCCGCTGCTTTACCTCATCTCGTGTCCATGCTGATTGCCCCTGAGGGAGACCCGAATGCACCAGACATCCCGACCCCGCGCTCTTACGCAGAGGCGATAGAGGGTCCCTACTCCTCTCAGTGGCAGTCAGCCATGGACGCAGAGATGGCTTCCTGGAAGTCCACAGGCACCTACGTCGACGAGGTTCCCCCACCTGGGGCGAACATCGTCAGTGGCATGTGGATTTTCAGGGTGAAGCGGCCGCCGGGTTCTCCGCCTGTCTTCAAGGCGCGTTACGTTGCAAGAGGCTTCAGTCAGCGAGAGGGAGTTGACTTCTTCCAGACCTTCTCCCCGACCCCGAAGATGACCACTCTTCGGGTTCTGCTGCACGTCGCCGCTCAGCATGACTACGAGCTCCACTCTCTTGACTTCAGCACTGCGTTCCTACAGGGCAGCCTACACAACGAGATCTGGCTGCGCCGCCCACCTGGCTTCACTGGGTCGTTCCCTCCTGGTACCCAGTGGAGCTTCCGGCGGCCAGTCTACGGTCTCCGCCAGGCACCCCGTGAGTGGCACGACACACTGAGGACTACTCTTGCTGCTCTTGGGTTTGCTCCTTCTACTGCTGACCCGTCGCTGTTTCTACGCACCGACACCACTCTGCCGCCGTTCTACGTTCTCGTGTACGTAGACGACTTGGTCTTTGCTACTGCTGACACTGAGGCACTCGCCCACGTGAAGTCGGAGCTGCAGAAGAGACACACGTGCACAGACCTGGGTGAGCTGACAAGCTATCTTGGCTTGCGGATCACCCGGGACAGAGCACAGCGCACCATCACCTTGACTCAGTCACACATGGTGCAGCAGGTCCTTCAGCGCTTCCGCTTCACGTACTCCTCGCCTCAGCCCACTCCTCTGCCTACCGGTCATTCGCTCTCAGCTCTGCCTTCGGATGAGTCCGTAGAGCCGAGTGGCCCGTATCCAGAGCTTGTGGGCTGCCTCATGTACCTGATGACCTGCACTCGACCTGACCTTGCATACCCTCTTAGCATCCTAGCACGCTATGTCGCTCCTGGCCGTCACCGGAAGGAGCACATGGATGCCGCTAAGAGGGTGTTGCGCTACTTGTGCAGTACGTCGGGCATGGGGCTTGTGCTTGGAGGACGGAGCGACGTTGTCCTCACTGGACACTCAGACGCTTCTTGGGCTGACGACCAGGCTACGCAGCGGTCGTCTCAGGGTTACACCTTCAGCCTTGGCTCTGGTTCTGTTTCTTGGCGTTCTACACGCTCGTCGTCAGTTCTCAGCTCCAGTTGTGAGGCTATCTACACCACAGCCATGGCTGCCCAGGAGTTACGCTGGCTCACCTACCTGCTGACCGACCTGGGAGAGCGGCCTCGTTCTCCTCCAGTGCTGTACGTCGACAACAAGGCCGCCATTGCCTTATGTCAGGAGCACAGACTGGAGCACAGAACGAAGCACATCGCTCTGCGCTACTTGCTTGCTCGAGAGCTGCAGCAGCGTAGTCAGCTTCGTCTTGCTTACGTGGCCACTCGGGCCAACACTGCTGATGTGTTCACCAAGGCGCTTCAGCCTTGTGATCATCAGCGTTTCTGTACTGTTCTAGGCCTTGTGCCTACTGTCCCTCACTTGCTCACTTCTTGACTCTGCTTGTACTGTGATCTCTATATATATACCTGCATGTTTACACTTGCTAGGTTGTGATCACTGTACCTCTTGTTACATTATCAAACTGCATGTGAACTGGTCTTGTGACCGCTTGCTTGTGCTCAGAATTTTTGTGGTATCCTTGAGATCCACCCTGAGCTTGCTTTGCTTTGACTGGTCTTGTGACCCCTTGCTCTCCCCACTTAGCCTATGGGGGTGTGTCAAACATTATATATGTTATAGTTGTGTAGGCTACCGTGGGTTAGCCTTTAGGGGGTACACTACTCTAGGGTTTGGTACTTGTACTCCCATTCCTTCCTAGTTCATCATTCTCATTCTTTCTTAGATTCTAACACTCGCCGCCTTGACTACGCCACTAGTCTCGTGGGTGCTCCTCCTACCAGTCCTCTTGCCGTCGGAGGTGAGTCTGCCCTTGGCTGTGACGCCCTAGAGGAGAGGCAGTTTGAGCTGGAGTTCCTGGCAGTCGCTTCCCCTCATCTCTGTGCCATGCTTCTCACCCCTGAGGGAGACCCCGACGCCCTTGACATACCGACTCCTCGCACTTACGCTGAGGCAGTGTCAGGGCCTTGGGCCTCTCAGTGGAGAGCTGCCATGGATGCAGAGATGGCCTCCTACAGATCCACAGGCACCTACGTCGACGAGGTTCCCCCCCCTGGGGCGAACGTAGTTGATGGCATGTGGATCTACAAGGTGAAGCGGCCACCGGGATCTCCTCCGGTCTTCAAGGCACGCTATGTGGCTAGAGGTTTTAGTCAGCGCAAGGGAGTTGACTTCTTTCAGACCTTCGCGGCTACCCCGAAGATGACCACTCTTCGAGTGTTACTACATGTAGCAGCACAGAGAGACTACGAGTTACACTCTCTTGACTTCTCCACTGCTTTCCTTCAGGGTAGCCTACACGAGGAGGTCGGGCTACGTCGTCCCTCTGCCTTCACTGGCACTTTCCCTCCTGGGACCCAGTGGAGGCTGAGGCGACCTGTCTACGGTCTCCGTCAGGCTCCTCGTGAGTGGCACGACACCCTTCGTTCTACCCTGTCTGACCTCGGTTTCCAGCCGTCTTCTGCCGACCCATCGATGTTTGTTCGGCGTGGCTCCACACCGTTTTGTACTGGTCTACGTCGACGACCTGGTTTTTGCCACTAATGACAGGGTTGCTTTGGCTAACGTGAAGTCCGAACTGCAGAAGAGACACACGTGCACTGACCTTGGTGAGCTGCGCCACTACCTTGGCCTGCAGATCACCAGGGACAGAGCCGCTCGCACCATTACACTCTCACAGTCACACATGGTGCAGCAGGTCCTTCAGCGGTTCGAGCTTTAGCACTCCACAGTACAGCGCACACCTCTTGCTGTTGACCACAGACTCACGGGACCGTTCCCTGACAAGCCGTTTGAGCCTAGTGGTCCTTACGCAGAGCTTGTGGGGTGCCTCATGTACCTGATGACTTGTACTCGCCCGGACCTCGCGTTCCCTCTCAGCATCCTTGCTCGTTTTGTTGCGCCAGGGAGACACCGTCCAGTTCACTAGACAGCTGCTGTGGGGGTGGCGATCACCTAGCAACGACATCAGGCGTGGGGCCGGTTCTTGGAGGGCAGAAGTCTGTTATACTTACTGGACACTGTGACTCTTCTTACGTTGACGACGCAGAGACTTACATGTAACCTCAGGGGTACTGCTTCAGCCTGGGCTCTGGAGGTGTTTCGTGGAGGTCCGCACGTTCCTCTTCGGTCTCGACCTCGACCGCTGAGGCAGAGATCTACGCTGGAGCCATGGCTGCACTGGAGTTGCGTTGGTTGACCTTCTTATTCACCGACCTTGGTGAGCGGCCGAGCTCTGCACCGACCTTGTTCACTGACAACAAGGCGTCGATTCCCCTCTGTCGAGAGCCGTGACTGGAGAGAAGAGTGAAGCACATCAAATTCTGGTAATTTCTTGTGCGAGAGTTTGCAGAGGCGTTGACAGCTCGCTTCGACTTGTGGAGTCCAAGGCCAACACTGCAAACATCTTCACCAGGGCACTTCCGCCTTGTGACCACCAGAGGTGTTATGTGCAGATAGGTCTCGTTGACACAGGTTCTTGCCTTACGTAGTCTTGAGTTCTCTGCTTGTTTTGTTTGTGCGCTTTATATATACCTCGGTGAACTCTTGGACTTGCTTTGTGACTCTTTTGCTTGTGCTCAAGGTGTGTGGTGACATTGTGATCCACCCAGAGCTTTGTTCCTTTGTGATTGGTGTTGTAATCGTACGTTGTTGGTTTGCTTGACACCCCTCACTTAGTATATGGGGGTGTGTCAGATGTTATAGTCTTAGTGGTGTGTATCATATGGGGTACATTAGTTAGGGTTAGGTTCAACCAACGTTAGTCAGCACATCCTTCTGTTCTCGACAATGTGGGTTGGGTTGGGGTGATTGTGCCGTATAGTGTTTTACTTGGTGTGTTGTTATTTTTGCGTGCGCATGCGTTTTGAAATGTAGAGGAGTTTTTTTCTGTAGATTTCACCATAAGTTAATTATTAAAGAAGCTTGGTTATTTTCTTACAATTTCAAAATATCAAGGAGACATATGAACGCAAACTGTGCTGTTCCATAACCTGAGATTGTAGACAAGTGCATTTGAATTGTAGGCGTACATGTATAATCATTCTATTTGTGAAAAACTTCTCGGACTATTATCCTATCGTAAAGCATATAACTACACGTATTTAGGTGGAAGTATTCTACCATCGGGCCTTTGCACAGCGGGCAAACTAGTGTGCGATCACCCCAAGGTTGAATTGGACAACCGCCAACAACACGTCCAGCGTGGCTGCACTGCCCATCTCAGCGGAGCTGCTGAGGAGGTTGATGCGAAACTAGGGGCGAGTGTCGCCAATTGTCGTAGAGAGTTACTAGTCTATTGCACCCTCCTTGGGTGCCAGCGATGCCTGACATTGAATGAAACCCCAAGACTGGCACACAGTCACTATTCTAGTGCTCTTTGGTTGCTTATTTGCAGTAGGCGTTCGCGCGTCTGTTCGTTGTCTCCACGCACCCGTTTGAGCTGCCAGTTGTGCTACCCTTCTTCGAATAATCAGGCCATGGCGAAGCTTTTGACGGCTCTCTGCGTGATTGCTGTTGCTTCCGCACTGTTAGTGTTGGGATGCCACGCTCGGCCGCTTTCGTCGTCCTGTGCGTACACCTCATCGACCTAATCCTTTTGCTGCTTTCCGCAATTTATTTGCATGTTTCAGCACCCGCAGCACGTACCCTCTAAACGTGCTTCTAGTTTCCTGACGACTCTGTTTCTTCCACCGTTTCCCGTTCCCATCAGCTGATGTGATTGAATCGGGGGGTCCTCTGGACCAGCTGTGTCCGGCGTGCATGTCGGCGGTGCTTCAGGCGCACATGGTTCTGTCGGCTCCTGACACCGCGGCGGACCTCATCGACGTCGTCGAAACGTACGCGTGCTCGCAGCTCGACACGGAGAAGGAAGCCAAGGTAAGTCGACTCGCCTTTCTCCGACGCGTGGATTTTAGTAGCTGAAAAGTTGATCGGGCAAATATTGTTTTTTTTGCACAGGAATAATTTAGAGAGTGGGATCAATACTTGGTAGGCTTGTCCTGGAAATCAAAGGTAGGCACGTCGTGCTTTACAACGCATGCGTCCAAGGGATTGTGTTTCCCACTTCGTCTGATTCCTCCTCATTTGACGTTCCTTAGCCTTGTTCGGTTCCCGGGATTAGTCATCCCATGCATCTCTTTTCATACTCGATTTTTTTCTTCTTGCCCTTTCTCAGTGCGACGCGCTCGTGGAGCAATACGTGCCGCTAGTCATTGCTGAGATGGATAACGAAATCACCGTCGACAAAGTCTGTGTGCGGTTCCATATCTGCCCACCGAGTCCTGATGAGCCAAATTCAGCCGTCGATCTGACCCCAGCAACTCCAAAAGACATCCTGGCGTACACCATCCAGGAGGCGCTTCTGGGGGAGGCTGTATCTGACCCCGAGGACGTGGCAGGTGCAGCGGATGTGGTCGGCGAGGTGGCTGCTGTGGATGATCAGAATGCGCTGCAAAACCGGGAGGACTGTGTGGCGTGTCTCATGATGGTGCGGGTGATCAGGAAGAGGCTGTCGGACCCCAAGATGCAGGTGATTTGCCTGAAAGCATAAGAGCGTTGGGTGGGCAGGGGGAAGGACTGAGATGGGTGGGATGCAGTATGGGGAAGAGTTAGGAAGGAGCAATGACCACTGTGTGTGTGTGCATGTGTGCATGTGTGTGCTTGGTTGAAATTTGACTTTTGAGCTCTGTCTTGACTCTGTCCCCTCATCCTCACCAGGCACACATCATGGACTTCGTTATTGGAAGGTGCAACAAGCTGGCCAATGAGAGTCTCACAGCTGAGGTAAGTCCATACTCAGTCCAGCACATCTTGTCAGCTACCTTACTTTCGCTCTCCAGCCCATTGGTCCTGGTTCATCAATTGTTATCAACTTGTACGTCCTCCCACCTCACTGTGTTTCCCACAGTGCATCAGCGCAGCCCAGGACATCCTGCCGGTTATTTTCGAGGAGCTGCCCAAGGTGCTGGACCCCAAGAAGGTCTGCAAGAAGTCTGGCCTGTGTTCCTCGCTTGCCCCGGTTGAGGGTATGGTGGTTGCTGGACACAGTGATGAGGACGCCAAGCTTCCGCTGCTGCTTCAGCTGCCTTCAGAAATGAACTAGTGCAGAGGGGATGTCAATTTGTCAAGACGGATTTTGTATAGGTGGTAAAGAGTTGCTTGCCAGGGCAAATTGGTTGATCCAACTGAACTGGGTACTGACAGCTGAAGCTGAGTTAGACCAGCCTCAGTTCTGTATATACAGTTTGTAATCTGAGTGCGTTAGGAATTGGATACCTTTTTTTTTTTAACTGTTTTATGGCAGCTTTCCCTCCCGGGTTTTTGCCGGAATGGATAGGGTATGTAGGTTCCTGCATTTCCCATCCCACTTGAATTTCCACGTCTTATTTTTGTCGATATACTGGTAGGCCTAATCGTCACTGGTTCGTGTATCGATATTCTCACTTCGGGTATCTGGGTCCCGCCAATTTTTCTGCGTTCAAACTTTCAAATTGACGCCTCGGCTGAATATTTTTGAGCGTGTGACCACAAATGTTTTCGTCCAACCGAAACTCAAGAGCAACACCCCTTTCTCGGATCTGCTTTGCAGATCGTGCCCGGCAAATATCTGGCTTCATACTGGAGTCGAATGCTGTACGGGCTGGGCATCACAAAAAGGATGGAGTGGAGACAGAATTGAGGAACAAAAACGAAACCCAGGTCTCCTCGTGAGCTTCAAGCTGCTGTGTGACCTTTGGGAGGGATGATCACCTGACTCTCTCTTCCGATTCTGTCTGGACTGGCATATTGCTCACCTTCTGTCCACCGTAGTCTGTCTGGTCTCCAGCCATTATTCAGTCCTGAACCCGGGTTAAGTCGGCGTACGCTTACCGTTTCGATTAGCATTTACAAGTGTTGTGCTGATCGAAATGGTGGGAAAACGGAGTTCAGCAGCCACGACGGCGGCGTCACCTGCTCGGCAGGTGAGGCGATGAAGCTGGCAGTTGGGTCACGAAAGCTTGGACGTGCACTTGCAAATGTAGATGAATGCACAAATTAGAAATGTTTTCCGAGGTCACCAATAGTTGCTGTTTGTTCAGGCAGAGTTTGCAGAAAACAAGGAATGTAGTACCATGCGGCCCTTGGTAGTGTTTGCTCTGATGCTACGCTGACAGGTATCTCGCTCTTCAGATGCACTATAACAATCATCGTCAGTGGACAGTATCAAGCGGAGGTCGTCGGGAGGGATACAAAACGCGTGTGTTTAGTATACCTTTGAGTCGACTCAAAGAGATGTCTGTGGACAGTGGCTAACGCTGCTCAGGCGGAGGTCGTCTGAGTTGAGGGATACATAAGGGAAATGCAGCCTCTATGGCTGCACGAAGCGTTCTTTTACAATGACTCTGTACGGCTTCACGAACTGCTGCATAATGCGTCGCGACTCGCACGCAATCGGATCTAGCGTCTACTGGATTGATGTAGTCCCGACTTAGACTGCATCGCGGTTTGATACATTCCTGAAAGAAAAGGAACCTTATTTTGTAGTCTCAAGAATTCCCTTGCGAAATGTGTCCTGACTCATGAATTCCCACAGAGGCCTCCAAGGCGTTCCGCAGCTCGTGCTCCTCCAAACGGAGCTGCTTCCTCCTCTCCTGCCTCCGCTTCTGCGCGTTCCCCTGCTTCTTCGTCAAAGAGAAAGCCAAGGAGAAGGGTCGACAAGGACGAAGAGGCCCGGATGGAAGCTAACAAGAAGGCTTCAAAACTGAGGAAAACGGCGGACGAGGAGATGGACGAGGTGGAGGAGGTGGATGAGGTGGATGAGGTGGATGAAGAGGAGGTGACGGTGGTGAAAGGGAAGGGGAAGGCAAAAGTGAAGGAGGTGGACGAGGAGGTGGAGGAGGAAAAGGAGCAGGAGGGCGAGGATGCCTCTGTGGAAGAGAAGGACGTGATTCCGAAGCGGGAGGCGAATGCACGGTGGCCAGAGCGGTGCAAGGAGGTGAAGGGAGTGAAGCACTACTCGGCAGTCACCATGGACGGTCACCTGTACAAGCTCGGCGACGATGTTACTGTGCAGGTTTGTGTGACAGTGTCGGGCCTTGCAGCCATGACAGGTTCTTTGCCACCCTCTCGTATTTGTTCACTGCATAGCAGCAGCGTTTCCCAACTGGTATTCAGGTTCTTCTGACCGCTGAGCTCCTCCCGATCCGCCTTTCAGAGCCACCTGACGCCCGATCTTGACCACCCACTGGAAAAAATGAAATTTCCTATCCAACCCGAGTGTCTTCTTTGAGGGTAGGGCGAGCCCAAGCGCTGATACGGTACAGAAAGTTATCAGGCCTGTCAAGGGATATATATATATATATATATACTTAAGTTAAGCCAACTCACAAGTGTATCTTTCCATTCTACCCGTGTGTTGTTGTGGTGACAGGGCGAGCCCAATGGTCATGACTTCATGGGTACGATCAAGGAGATATTCAAGCCCGCCAAGGGAGAAGTGTCATGCTTGCTGCGCTGGTACTTCCGGTACAGCGATACGGTGAGTGCTCTCATGCTAATTCTGCTGAGATGAGAGTGCGCTGACTGCCAGTGCTTCTTTCAGCTCTCAATCACGTTGAACAAGTTGCTCCTAGTCCCTTCCTTCTCAACACGGCGGGTGCTCTGATGCCAAATCTGCTGCACCACCAGTGTGAACGCTCTGACTGCCAGCGCTCCTCATCAGACCTGTTGCACTCCCTTCCCCCTTCCCTTCCTCCTTCCCCCTCCTCTCGTCTCCCCTTCCCCTTCTTCGTTCTCTTCTCCCCCTCTCCCTCCCCTTCACGCTGCTCCGGCCTCCCCCCTACCAGGCGATGGGGGCGTTGGGGGACGGCATTGTGGATCCGCGCTTGTGCTTCTGGTCGCGGGAGACGGACGACAACCCTGCCAGTTGCATCACAGGGAGGGTCAGAGTCAAGCGAGTCAAACCTCCGGTACGATGAACCTAGACACGCCCTTACGGGGGGCGTTGGGAGCGGTATTGTGAATCCGCACGTGTGTGTGCTTCTGGTACGATAAACCCGTGCATGTGCTCTCAATTATTTCCCCTTGTGCATCAGCACCACATGGACCACCCATCATACCAGTAGACACAAACCACATGTACCACCCATCATACCAGTAGACACAAACCACGTGTACCACCACATCTACTTCAGTAAGAGCCTATGGAGCCGTTGAATATACCAGCAGATGCGGACTACATGTATTACCACATGTACTCCTACGACTTTGCCTCCTTTGACTTCTCTTCCGAGCCCTCTCCCTCTACCTTGTGTTTCTGCGCCCACACATCAGTCCGGCCCCAAGGAGCCGCTGGACATACCAGCAGACGTGGACTTGGTGTACCACCACATGTACGCGTACGACTTCGCCTCCTTCTCCGACATTCCCAATGATGAGTGTACGTGTGACTCGCTGCTGCCTTCAAGTTTTGAGACGTCTCAAAACTCGTACGACTTTGCCTCCTTCTCCGACATTCCCAATGATGAGTGTAAGTGTGACTCGCTGGTGCCTTCTGGAGGTCAAAGCGTCAATCACCTGTGGTGTTTTCTGAAGGTCAAAGTGTCAACGACCTGTGGTTTCTTCTGTGAGTCAAACCGTCCACTACCTGTAACTCTATGCCAGCAAGGGTGATTATGAGAAAGTGCAAATCTGTGTCTTTATCGTGTGTTTGTGCGCCCTCATTCCAACTCCCCACAGGCGAGCAAAATCTGGATTGCCTCCCTGACCCGCCGGCCGTCCACCCACCTGGATCGAACGGGGTGATTGGAGGGGGAGAGGGCGAGAAACACGAGGTGGAGAGGAAGGCCAAGTGCAATGGAACGCGTGGGGGAGATGGAGGGGAGAAGGCCGTGCAGAGCAAGGAGGAGGAGGGGGCTACTGGGAAGGATGAAGGTGATCTGAAAGATGAGTGTGTTGATGCAGAAGGGGGAGGAGGGAGAAGGGGCGGTGAAGCCAAGATAGTGGAGGGTGTTGGAGGGGATGTTGGAGCGAGTGTGAAAACGGGGGAGGGGCAGGGCGCAGGCGAGGGTGAGGTCGGTAAGAAGCTAGGAGGAGGTGAGGAGGAGGGCAGTAAGGGACAGGGGGGAGGCGAAGGGGCGGGTGGTATAGAAGTGACTCCTGAAGGATCAGGGGGAGTGAATGGGCTCGAGGAGCTGGAAGATAAGAAGGCAGATGGGAAGACAGAAGGCACAGCGGTCGAAGGTGTAAAGGTGGAGAGTGGTGGGGCAGTGGGGGGTGTGAGTGAGGTGGGAGGTGATAATCAGGAGAAGGGCGAGGGAGGAAAGGGGGAAAATGGGAAGGGAGAGGAAGGAAAGGGGGAAAGTGAAAAGGGAGAGGAAGGGAAGGAGGTGGAAGGGAAAACATTTGTGAAGGTTGAAGATCCTGCGGTAGGCAGTATGAAGGTGGAGAGTGAGGGGGCAGTGAATGATGCTGGTGAGACGGGAGATAGTCAGGAGAAGCGCGATGAAGGGCGGGGAGAGAATGGGAAGGGAGAGGACGGAAAGAAAGAGGAAGGGAAAGGTCCAGCTGGAAAGGTTGAAGGCACAGCAATAGCTGGTATGCAGGTGGAGAGTGGTGGGGCAGTAGAGGGTGCAGGTGTGGTGGGAGATCAGGAGAAGGACGAAGAAGGGAAGCAAGAAGAAGGCACGGGAGAGGAAGGAAAGGGAGAGCAAGGGAGGAAGGAAGAAAGTGAGGGGCACGAGACGGAAGAGGGCGGCAAGGAGGATGAAGGAGAGCAGACGAGCAAAGCTGCATCTGGCGGCAAGAAGGGTCGGCTGTCGGGAGGTGGGGCTCGGACTGCTGCCGCCCCTGCTACAGTGACTCTCCCGCCCCAGACCATGCGTCTGAAGATGCTGGACATGTACAGTGGCTGCGGTGCCATGTCCACGGGGATTGAGATGGGCGGCACTCCCAGGGGCGTCACCATAGACACTGTGAGTCAGGCACTGGGATGGGATGTGTGAATCCGAAGCCCTCACACTTATTTGATTGTTTCGTTGGAGAAAGGCCTGCGTTACATGAGTCCATCTCACGCCGTTTACGGCCGTTAATCCTGTTATTGCAGTTACCGCCGGTTGTCTTCAAATGCGCCCCTCTCATGCTGTTACTACTGCTGCCATGACTTTGCTTGCCCCGTGTGATGCCATTGCCGTGCTGGTCTGTGTGTGGACTTCAACGCAGATGCACGCGTATTTTGAGCTGACTCAAATTATTGCCGGTTACCTTCAAACGTGCCCCTCTCTTGCTGTTACTGCGGTGACTGTGCTTGCTGTGTGCGTGCCCCGTGTGATGCAGTGTTGGTCCGTGGACTTCAACGCGGCTGCATGCGAGAGCATGAAGTACAACCACCCGCTCTGCCAGGTGTGTACACACCCGCCAGACGCGTGCAACCACTCCTGTTTTGTTTTGTAGTGCAACGCAAATGGACATGCTTTTGGGTGATCCTTGAGATTCTAAACAGGCAGGTTCTTACGCGTCTATCTCCAGTATGGGAACAATGAAAAACAGAAAGAATCTATTGCAACACTTTGTGCCTTGATTCTGCGATCAAAAGCATCCCTTTCAAACACTGCTGTCCTGCTTTTTACCCCCCTCTATCCTCACTCCTTCCCGTTTCCATGTCGTCGTCGCCTCGAGCCCAATGGGCTGATGAGCTCTCACTGCTGCTTCTGAAAGAGCCATGCACGCACTTAACTCCTGGGCTGGTCCTACCGCTTCCTTCTGCCGAGCTGGTTTTACGCACCCGAACAATGCACCCCCTTGACTTTCCCTCACGGCTCCTGCCTTTCCTCCTACTCCCATCCCATCCTCCCCCATCCTCCCCTTCTCACACTTCTCGCCGCCTGCTCAGGTGCGCAATGAGACTGCAGACGAGTTCCTGGTGATTCTGAAAGAGCTGCCGTCCCTGCTGGAACGTTACTCTGTGAGCTCAGCAGCTGCTGCTGATGCAGTGTTCATGGATGGCGAGAAAGGCGGTAAGGCTGTTGCGCATAAACATAAGGTCGTGCACCACTCGCATCACCAGCACCAGGAGCAGCAGCAGGAGCAGCAGCAGCAGCAGCAAGAGCAGGAGCAGGGAGGTGAAGGGTCAATGGCGAAGGTGGAAAACACCAAAGAGGTGGAAATGGGAGATGCGGAAGAGGCTGCAGGGAAAAAGGAGGAGTTAGAGGAAGTGATGGAGGAGGTAGAGGACGAAATAGAGGAGGTGGAGGAGAGAGGGAGGGGGAAGAGGAAGAGGAGGGCATCAGCTGAGAAGGGCGAGAAGGCGAGGACATCAGGCCGGAACAAGAGGCAGAAGGAGGGACAGCAGAGCAATGGTGCTCCCAGCAATGTCAACTCTGGGAAGGAGATGGCGAAGGCGGAGGAGGATGAGAGCAGTGATGAGGAGGTTGACGAGGGGGAGTTTGAGGTGGGGCGGATTGTCGGGGTGAGGTACATTGCTGCCACGGAGAAGGGACGGCCAGCTGGCATTTACTTCAAGGTGAGATGAATTGCAGCGAGACGTGAGTTGGACCCTTGTTCTCTCTTGCTTCTATGCTTGACGGCTGCAAATGTCCTCAATTCCCAACTCCTGCATCTTGACTGGCTTATACTCCTCTCTGGTTCCTTCTCCCTTTGCTGTTCCCCTCCGTTTTAGATCTGAGTAGTTGCATACAGGTGGATTATGCGAGGAGATGCACATGTGCTGTTCTTGCCCTCTGCACCGCGCTCAACCTACGCCTGTGTTGGGGATATTCGGTCTCTTATCTGCAGGTTCAGTGGAAGGGGTACGGACCAGAGGAGGACACCTGGGAAGGGGAAGACAGTCTCAGGTGAGTGCTCTATGCCACATGTGGTGGCTTTCTTGGTCAGCTCAAGAGCATCAGGTGAATGACTTTTGAGACGTCTCAAAAGACGACTTTTGCGACGTCTCAAAAGACACCTGGGAAGCAGAAGAGAGCCTTGGGTGAGTGCTGTATGCCACATGAGGTGGCTTTCTTAGTCGGCTCAAGAGCATCAGGTGAATGGTCACTACCATACCAGAATCGGTTGTGCCACCAAACTATACCAGGCCATGCTATGCCAAGGCAACCAACAGTAGGACGTTCACCTGCCCCGAACCAGTTTGGACCTTTTCTGCTTGCTTTCTTTCCTGTTCAAGGAAAGCGTGGTGTGAGCACACTCTATCATCGCACAACATGATGTGCCATGCCATGTCATGCCAACCAGTCGCTTACAGCAAATTGTCATAATTTATCAAGAACATTGCAATGGCATAACCATGGCAACACAATGCCATCTGCGCATGCGCTCTCTGTTGCTTGTTGCTGCAGCTCGTGCAAGCCGGCTATCAGGGACTACCTGGTGGAGGTCAAGGAGAAGAAGCTGCTGCCTCTGCCGGTAAGAAGGGCATACTTGCAGGTGCTGCCTCATGTCTTAATTGTTGCTGCAGCTCGTGCAAGCAGGCAATTCGGGACTACCTGGTGGAGGTGAAGGAGAAGAAGCTGCTGCCTCTGCCGGTAAGTAAGAAGTGCATAGGTGTTACCTTGCCTCAGCTCTTGTTTCTTCGTTGCTGCAGTACCCATGCAAGCAGGCTATCCAGGACTGCTCCCAAAGACTACCTAGTGGAGGTCAAGGAGACGAAGCCATAGCCGGTACTGCTCCCGTAGCCGGTACGAGGCGCATAGACGCTGGTAAGCTGCTCCCTGCTCTTGGTTCTTTGTTGCTGCAGCTCGTGCAAGCAGGCTGGGACCGTCTGGTGGAGGTGAAGTGGAAGACGTTGCTCCCTTTGCTGGTGAATGGCGCACAGCTGCTGCTAGTGCTGTCTTAGATCCTGGTTGTTTGTTGCTGCAGCTCGTGCAAGCAGGCTGGGACCATCTGGTGGAGGTGAAGTAGAAGAAGCTGCTCCCTTTGTTGGTGAATGGCGCACAGCTACTGCTGGTGCTGTCTTAGATCCTGGTTGTTTATTGCTGCAGCTCTTGCAAGCAGGTTACTGCCACCTTGCAGCGCGTTTGATGGTAATGCTTTTCTGTCAAAAGACCAGCACTGGGAATGTTCGATTGATCCTACAGAAGGGTTACAGGCTCGTTGGCCTAGGCGGTTATGAGCGCACTGATCCGCTACTTATCAAGCCTTTTTATCCCAGTGGTCTAATGTTTGGGATTTCTGACATAGTATAAGAACGAAAGTCGCGGGTTCAAATTTCCATGTGTGCACACGCTGGCGCTGCCATTGTGCCGTGTTCTAGGGCATCCTTGTGAGGAGGGGTGTCAAAAGACCAACACTGGGAATGCCTGGGGGGTTATGAGCGCTCTGACCCGCTATTTAACAAGGTTTTTTATCCAAGTGGTCTAGTGGCTCAGATTCTGACATTTTCTCCACCCACCCCAATCCCACGGCAGGGCGATGTGGACATCATCTGTGGAGGCCCCCCCTGCCAGGGCGTGAGCGGCTTCAACCGCTTTCGCAACACGGAGGACCCGCTGGCGTGCGAGAAGAACCGGCAGCTGGTGGTGTTCATGGACCTCGTGGGGTGGCTGGCGCCCACGTGGGTGCTCATGGAGAACGTGGTTGACCTCATGAAGTTCAAAGAGGGCATACTAGCTAAATACGCCATCGCCCGCCTCGTCGCCATGGGCTACAAGGTGAGCTGGGGTGGGGGGAAGGGGGGGAGAGGGGTGCGGGAGGGTACGCGTGAGGAGGCACGAGGGTACGTGTGAGGGGATGTCGCAGAAGGCTGTCTCGCCAAATTCGCCATCGCCCGCCTTGTCGCATGGGGTACAAGGTGAGCTGGGATGGCGGGAGGGGGGCGGGAGGGGGAGGGTACGTGTCGACCACTATCTTCATAGGTTTGCTGGAGTTTTTCACAAAAATCACCAACTGTTTTGCACCAACATAACTCTCAAGGCCCCCAATAAACAGTTGCGTCTATTTTTCTTCACCGCTCCCTTTTCCCCTCCCTGCAGTCTCGCACGGGGATCATTGCCGCCGGGTGCTTCGGAGTCGCTCAGTTTCGCCTCCGAGCATTCTTCTTCGGCGCCTTGAATGGCCATGTATGTAAATATTCACATTCTTCTGTGATGAAATTTTTGTTGTTGATATGCATTTTCTTTGCCCATTATACAGAGGGGGGTGTAGCACACGCTACTCTCGAATCACGTCTCCCAAGGCGAATAATGGTTTGACTCTAAGGGACGTCTGACCGTCACTCCTCCCACTCATGCTGTCTTAGCCAAGCCTCCCTTTTGTCATCATCTGATGCATGTGTGGATCAGTGCTCATCCCCATTCCCCGTGCATCCCCTGCTCATCCCCCTCGCCCCCCATTTCCCCCCTTCCCCCCAATCCCCTTGCCTCCCACCCCTTTCAATCCCTTCCCCCCTCCCCTCTTCTCCACCTTCTCCATCTCAGGCGCTTCCGAGCTTCCCCTTACCCACACATCTCGTCGCGAAGGAAAGAGGCACCGTGCCCACGCGCTGGATGGTGAGTGCTGACTGTCTGTGATTGCCCACGAGCTTTTAATGAAGGACCTTTCTTCTTGAAAATTTCTTCGTTACAATCAGGCCGACAGTGCACTTACATTCTTTCCAGGTGAACCAAGTCCCATGATGTCGTTTGTTTCTGTCGGTGTTTATGATGCTGCAGAGGAACTTTGTTGGGTGGGAGGAGAAGTCTCCCGTGCTGAAGACGCTGAAGCCTGCACTCGTGCTAAAGGACGTGATATCTGATCTCCCACCGGTGAGAGCTCACAGTAGCTGTTGTTCGGATAATGTGACCAGCACTCGTTTTGATATCAAGTGTTTTTGTATGAATGAATGGGTTGAAGGATATCATCTCCGCACCTATCGGACAGCGAACCTGAGTAAAGTCCTAGATCTGCACGTATCGGACAACGAAATTCACAAAATATTTTCAGCCGAATTCTCTAACTGTTTAGGCTTCCGTGTCGAACCTTTGTAAGTCCGATGCGATATCAGGTCGAACCAATCGAGTTTCGTGGCTCAGCATCCCAAGTCTATTCTGAGCAGGTTATATTATAATCTACCAAGCTCACATTCAACTTGTGCAGGTGACAAACGCCACGACTACTGACGTCATGGATTACACCAAGCCACCTGCCAACAACTTCCAACGATTCATACGCCTCCCGAAATCCGGTAAGCTAAGCTCGATCAGCATTGGTCTGTTTTGTCGGATCCCGCAGCCCTGCACGCCCAAGGAGAGTGCGCGCACCTTCATGCAGAGTCCGGTTGAACCACTCAGCCACGCCGATCTGCTGAGAGTTGTAAGGCACTGTGAGCTGATGCTGGATCCCCTTCCTTTTCAGCTCCCCCTCAAAATCAGCGCCAATGAACTCTCCTCCATTGTCGGTGCGGATCACCTTCACCTTGTGTCCGCTCTTTTTTTGTTCATTGTCTATCCTTGAATTGATCTCCCCATTCAGTCCCTTCGACCTAATTACCCCGTTTGATCCTACAACTTCTCGCACCCTCTCCCAGGCTTTGTAATATACGTTTTCTCCTCCTCCCGTTGTTGTGTGGCCTTCCAATCGCCTCCCCCAGGTGCCACCTCCCCGAGCTCGCCCTGGTCATGGTAAACCTCAAATTCCTAGATCAAGATTTTTGAGTCGACTCATATCATCTTTTCTGCTCTCCCTGTTGTCGTGCAGCCTTCAGGCCACCTCCCCCAGATGCGACCTCCCCGAGCTCGCCCTGGTCGTGGGATGAGAACCCCAAGCTGCTGGACCACCGCACGCACAACCTCAATGCTGATGACTTCTACCGCGTGGAAAGGATTCCCAAGCGAGAGGTGAGCTTTGAGGCACCGAAGAAATGATTGCAAGGGTTTTCAAGTGCGAGGTGAGCCCTTTCAGCGAGTGCTAGAGGGCGTACTTGAGGGTGTTGAGGGCAAATCTGAGGTTGAGATTGAGGTCGAGGGGGCGCATTCGATGTCATAAGGGTTTATGCACACAACCCAGCTGTTTCAGTTACCAGAATCTGACCAGTTACACTCTGCATTTTGGGGCACGATTATGCGTTACGAAGCGGTTCTCTTCGGAGGCGTGTGCATGATCCCCTCCCTCCACCTGCCCCCTCCGCCTCTCCTCCTCCCTGCTCCCCCCTCTCCGCTCCTCCCTCTCACCATGTGAGGAACTGTTATCGCAATCCAACATCCTCCCCCAACCATCCCCATCCGCGCCTCACCCCATGCAGGGAGCACAGGGACCTGCCAGGAGTGCTGACCAACCTTGCCACCAAGAAGTGCTCCTCTCTTTATTGTTGTTATAATATAAGGCAACATCCTCTTGCACCCATTCCCATTCGCGCCTCTCCCAATTCAGGGAGCATGTTTCCGGGACCTGCCAGGAGTGCTGACGAACCCTGTCACCAAGAAGTGCTCCTCTCTTCAGCCCACCCCTCCCCTCCCACCCCGTGTTTTCCACCTGAGTGGATTGTTGTTACAAGCCAGCAACAAGCCTCCATCTTTCATCCCCCTCCGCGTTTCTTCCCATGCAGGGAGCATGTTTCCGGGACCTGCCGGGAGTGCTGACGGACCCTGTCACCAAGAAGTGCTCGCTGGACAAGTCTCTCCAACCCCGCCCTTTCATCCCGCACTCGGGCAGCCCTCTGGTGAGAACAGTGCTTCTGACGCGACTCAAGTGTCACTTCTGCACTCGGGCAGCCCTCTGGTGAGAACAGTGCTTCTGACACGACTCAAGTGTCACTTCTGCACTCGGGCAGCCCTCTGGTGAGAACAGTGCTTCTGACGCGACTCAAGTGTCACTTCTGCACTCGGGCAGCCCTCTGGTGAGAACAGTGCTTCTGACGCGACTCAAGTGTCACTTCTGCACTCGGGCAGCCCTCTGGTGAGAACAGTGCTTCTGACGCAACTCAAGTGTCACTTCTGCACTCGGGCAGCCCTCTGGTGAGAACAGTGCTTCTGACGCGACTCAAGTGTCACTTCTGCACTCGGGCAGCCCTCTGGTGAGAACAGTGCTTCTGACGCGACTCAAGTGTCACTTCTGCACTCGGGCAGCCCTCTGGTGAGAACAGTGCTTCTGACGCGACTCAAGTGTCACTTCTGCACTCGGGCAGCCCTGTGGTGAGAACAGTGCATGCTGTGGTTCAGACAGGCCCAGCCTCAGAGGCTCAGGTTTATCGAGCCCAATCCCAGTGGAGTGCTGACAGACCCTGCCACCAAGAAGTGCTTGCTGGACAAGAGTCTCCAGCCCCGCCCAATCATCCCGCACTCGGGCAGCCTTCTGGTGAGAACAGTGCATGATGTGGTTTAGACAGGCCCAACCTCATGGGACTGTTCTGTTCTTCAGGCGCCTCAACAGTAGAATCGAGTTTAGAGAGGCCCAGACTGAGAACAGCTGACAGACTCTGCCTGTCACCAAGAGTGGTGACGGACCATGTCACTGGGCTCCTTGAGCAGTGGGCTGATCACCTTGAAGGCGCCTAAAAAAAAATCAAGGAATCGTCAATGTCCCAACTCTGCCATGACATTTGAGAAATTACTCAAAAACTCAATTCTCTCCTCCGTTTCGCTCTCCTCCGTTTTGCTCTCCTCCGTGTTATTCACACTGCAGTGCCCTGACTATGCCATATCATTTGTGAAAGGCACCTCCTTCAAGTATGTCCTCTGGCCCTCACAACTGCCTGCACTCACCTGTTTTGTTGCTCCGCTGCCATGTATCCCAAGTTAATGGTTTCAGGTTAAGGGAACTGTACCTGAGGCCATATCGTAAAAAGCGTGTACCATGTTCTGTCAAATGTTTTCATCTGCTTTCCGTTTCATCAGGCCCTTTGCTCGTCTGTGGTGGAATGACACGGTCCCAACTGTTGTCACTCGACCCGAGCCTCACAACCAGGTAAGCCCAAGGCACTGGATGACATTCCAGTAGACCGGCACACAGCGAAAGTTAACTGACAGAGATACAAGTTAATTGAGGGATTACACATTTTTCCGAAAGAAACGGCAAAGTGAACCTGGGATGTGCAGTTGGGCAACAGCTTGAGTTATGGGCGATATTGAGTATGCACACGCTTTCAAGCCACCGCATGGACCGTTGACCGGATTCCTTCCTGTATGATTCCCTTGCAGAAAATTCTTCACCCGGAGCAGGATCGGGTGCTGACTGTGAGGGAGAATGCTCGGCTCCAGGGCTTCCCAGACCATTACAAGCTGTTCGGCGATGCAAAGGAGCGGTAAGAGGTTTTGCAGTACTGTTTTTGTAGCAAAAAAATAGATACTACAAGGTGCTTCATTACAATCTCTATTTGTCTTGCCCAGGATCTTTGGCAGAAATTTTGCATTTAACTTGGATCACCATGTGTCGTTGCAGGTACTGCCAAGTAGGCAACGCAGTATCAGTGCCGATTGCCATGGCTCTCGGATACTCCATCGCAGGAGCTGCACTAGGAGGCACCTCTACTGCCACCTATGGCCTCCCAAGCTCCTTTCCCTATTTTCACTAATTACTCTAAGAGAGTGTTGTCACTGTTTCGACTGAAGTTTCTGCATTTTTTTTTTTGCTGAGGTACGGTATTAGAATCCTTAATTATGTCACATACTTCATTATAAACCACAAGCTACCGCTTTGTCAAAATGCACAGTTCCAATGTCCCATCTCTCACGGCTTGTCGGTTTCCGGGCAACAAATCTAAATGCGGCTGGGGCAGCCTCCTCGAAGATTCATTTCGAAACCAATTGGAACAATGCCCAACCCAGGGTGCTTCTGCCCGAAACGAAAAAATTGCCAGGTTTCAAGGATGAAAAATCCTGGCATTTTTTTTAGAGAATCATCCCGCCGTTCATCTCTTCATCATCCAACGAAATCGAGAGTTTCAACTCGATTGAAGCACCCTAACGAGGTTCGCTCAAAGCGCGGCAATCCCAATGGTTCGAGGTGGCTGGGGGAGGATGGTGGTGGTGGTGAGGCGACGAGGCGAGGTTGGTGAAACTGAAACTGATGAATCTTCTACTATTGCTCGCCTCCCGTTCCTCCTGAAAGAAATATACCATCAGCCATGGTTGTTGCTGGGTTGAACCGTTACTGCAAGTAGTGTCTGTTTGACCAATGGTCCTGGCTATGGTAGTGGAATGCGATACCTAAATACGCACCCTGTGTGAGTCTATGGGTAGTTCTCCTGCTACGTCTTTCATTGACGCGCCATTGACGACTCTGTTTCATACGCTGGGGTGAGCATTTTAGGGTTTGGAAATTAGTACCGAGGCACATGATCTCCACGACGTTCTCGTTACTCAGTTGTAGAGCCTTCTCTGTGCTAGAGCGGCCAATGCTGCATTTGCTGGTACTTCACCAGCAGCCGCTTTCCGACTCCTAGAACACCTGACCTGATAGTCTGCGAATCCAGCTCGAATCCCTGAATCACGATATAGCTCTTACTGTCATTTGAAAATTTCTCTTGGAGATTTCTCTCATTACGGTTGCAACACAGTATACAGCTCGTAGAACCATTCGGTAGATTAAAAAACGCTGACAACACAATGGAACAGGTCGTAGAGTGTAACCCTGAGATAGAGAGGGAGCGAGCCAAGGAGAGAGCTCTAGAGCGACGGATCGACAGCCTCTCCTGCGGTACAAGTTCCTTCGGCGCTACGGTGGACAGCCATGGATACGAAGGCACCCGTGAGTCCGAACAATACCGTGGGTACAGTCCACCTGACGGTAACGATAACGATCACGGAGCTCGAACAGTTGCCGGCCGGCAAGAGCTGGACTACCGTCAGGGTTCGCAGTACCGTCAGAATGTGGATTACCGTCAGGACGCGAACGACGGTGCTGACGTGGAGCCGCCGTATCACATGTTCGCGAAGAGCGCGACGACCGTCGCACAGCCGGCCAGACACAGCGGCCTCGGATTCGGAGAATCGCCGGTACATTCCCTAGACGTGCCACGTCAGCGGAGCTTCAGGGAAAGGAGATCCAACTACGACATGGGTCAAGGGAACGTAGGGTTCGGAGAATCCCCCGTTCACGGGGCAGATTTTCCACGTCAGCAGAGCCTGAGGGAGCGGCGAGAACGGAGGTATTTACCCCACGCGTCGCGAGCTGCAGTTCCGCAGTCCTCTAGCATCTCGCCGTTTCGGGTCCGCGTGAATCCGCGAGCAGGTGTAGCAGATGCACTCGTTACCAGCAGCCCCGATTTAAGAGTCAACTACGCGCCTCCGCAGGCTCTCGAAGCGGCGCTGGATCCGCGGCGTCAAGCCACATCAACGTCCGCGCCTCGAAGCCGCGTGCCGGCTGCCGAACCTCAGCCGTCTAGGAGCGTGCGTGAGATCCGACGGTCACGATCGGCTGTCCCGAAAACTACGGATACGGCGGAGCTGCTAGGAGGCGACTTTACAGAGGAAGAGCTTCGAGATTACCTGCTTCACCATCCACACGAAGATCAGTCCTCTTCACCTGCTCCCTCCCAGCTGATCAGCAGCAGTAGCAGCGGCAGGGAGCCTTACCCGCAAGATTTCCCCCAAACCTACCCACAAGCCTATCCCGGATCCTTCTCGCAAAATCACCTACAGAATCCCGAACGACCGCCGGACCACTTATGGGACGGGTCAGCGGAAGTATGGGATCGGGAAAGGGATCGGGAAGGGGAGAGGGAGAGGGAGCGCGAGAGCGGCGGAAACACGAGCTCGAGCCACGCGAGCGGCGCCAGCCATTCGAGCGTGGGGCGCAGCAGATCCAGCGTTCCGCGCAGCGGAAGCAGGAGCAGATCGGGTTCCGCCAGGCGCGGGGTTCCGCGCGTGAGCAGCACGGGCGGGGGGAGAGTGCAGCGGTCCGCGTCTGTGGGTCTATCGGATTCGGCGGAAGAGGAAGAGGAGGAGGACGACGGGGAGGAGTTTTTGACTTCGGTTCCGCCTGCTGCTATGGATGTTCTGTTGGGAAACACGGGGAAAAAGACCGCGGCTGGCGGGTGGAGAAAATCCGCGTCTACGTCATCAGCTGGTGCGACTGTAGCCACAGGGGGGCAGGGGAGGGCGAGGGGAGCGCAGACGGCAGGGCAGGGGTGGGGGCAGGGGATAGGGCAAGCGGCGGGGGAGAGTGGAGGGCAGGGGTTGGGGCAGGGAGTGATGGGGGGAAACAGCTGGGAGAGAAGGGTGGAGGCGCAGGGGGAAGCGATGTATGGCGGGCCGGGAGAGGAGGAGGACGAGGATGGGGTGCTGGAGGCGTACGCTGTGGATGATTTGGAGGAGCTGGATGCGGTGGAGGGTGGTGATGGTGGTGCATGGATGGTGGAGAGCGGTCAGCTGGGAGGTGGGGTTCAGGAGATGCAGCAGCAGTTGCAGCTGCAGCAGGGATACCATATGGCGCAGCAGCACCAGCAGCCGCAACAGCTTTACCAGCATCAATACCCCAACGAGTACCACCAGCAACAGCAGTACTACCAGCAGCAGCAGTTGCGCCAGCAACAGCCACAGCCGCAACTACAACCCTACCAAGACCCGTCCCTTCAGCAACAGCAACTGCCACTGCAGCAGCACCCACAACAGCAACACCAGCAGCCGCAGCAGCAGCAGCAGCAGCAGCAGCAGCAGCAGCAGGAGACAGGGTACAATCGTCAGTCGAGAAACCCCCCGCCAGAGTTCCACTCCCCGCGGCACCTAGAGGAAATGAGGCGCCGTTCTTCCTCTCTCTCGCCTTCACGTGGCACCGTCTCTGCCTCTGCCTCCGTCTCAGCCTCTGCCTCTGCCTCCTTCTCAGCCTCTGCCTCAGGAGATCGCTCTCCTCTCCACACTGCCGCAGCCGGTCGCCCCGACTGCGCCTCACCTCTCAGAAGCACCGCCCCTGGGGTCTCAGGCAGTGCCTCTCCTGCTGCTGGGTATGGGGGCGGCGGGGCGTACGGGCAGCAGGGGCAGCAGGGACAGTACGGGCAGCAGGGGCAGCAGGGGCAGTATGGGCAGCATGGGCATTCCAGCAGCAGCGGTAGCCTGGGGCATGTGTCTCCTACACTTGCTCGTCTCTCGCCTGGCTCGGGCCATGCCTCTCCCTCCAGGGGTCGTGCCAGTCCGGGCCATGCATCCCCTGGGCGGGGCTATGCTGCTCTCGGCCCTCCAGATCGTGAGCCTCGCGACGGTGCACTGACTGGCTTGCCTGCTGCTGCTATCGGTGCTGCCGATGCTGCTGGGTCTGCCGGTGCTGCTGCCGGTGCTGCCGGTGCTGCTGCTGCCGGTGCTGCTAGTGCTCGCTCGCCTGCTGCTGCTGGTCGTGGGGCGTATGGAAGAAGCCAAGGGGTTGAGAACGGTGGAGGGGGGCGGATGTCCGCGCAGGCAGGCGCGGAGCAGCAGAGCGGGGAAGAGCATTCTGCAGGAAGGGCGGACGGGCGGGTGGGGGGAGCGGAACCGGCAAGGGCAAGCCTGAGCGGAGGAGGGGCGCGGGAGGCGGAGGAGGGGAAGCAGGAGGGCGGAGAGGGACGTGTGGGGAGCGGGCGGAGAGGGGAGGACGATCTGGTTGCAGCTGCTGCTCTTGTTAGCGGAGCAGCGGGTGCTGGCGACGACAGGGAGAATGAGGCGGGGACAGGGGGAGCAGGAGTAGCAGGAGGAGGAGAAGGAGCGGCAGTAGGGGATTCAAGCGTGCTACCCTCTGTCGGTGCCGGTTCCGATGCTGGTTCTGATGCCAGTGCTGGTGCAGGGGCTGCAGCAGCAGGGGCCGCGTCAGGTGCTAGTGCAGAGGCGGGTGGTAGGAGAGGTGCGGGCGGGAATGGAAGAGGAGGAGGAAGAGGAGGAGGAGGAGGAGGAGGAGGAGGAGGAGGAGGAGGGGGTGTGTCAGAGATAGCGCTGGCACGGAACCTGAGCCTGCAGGTGAAGAAGGCAGAGCAGCAAATCTCCCTGGACAGGAATCTATCTCTGCGCAACATCAAGAAGCAGGGCAAGGACCTGGTGCCAAAACTGACCACTCTGCTCAAGAAGTCAGGTACGTCGTTTCTCTCCCTCTTCTTCTCTCCTTCCTACCCCACTCATATCCCATGCAAAAGTTGTGCACTCAGGCGAGCCGTTCTCCTTTCTCCTTCAGAAACTTACATCTTCTCCTCCTCATCTTCTCCTCACCCACTCCCTCTATCCTTCCGTCCCGTTCCCCTGCCCTCCCCTCGTCTACTCCCCCTCCAACCTGCCGCAGGGGCGGGAATAATCTATGCAGCTGCAGCAAGGCTGAGTGCAGCAGGAGCGGGCAACCTACTTTCGCCCTCGCCCCTCCCCTCCCTACTTCTCCCCCTTCCTGCCCGCACCCGCCGCAGCCAGCTCAGCAGGAGCGCGAATAAGCTATGCGGGCGCGGTAGGGCTGAGTGCAGCAGGGGCGGGCAACTTACTTTCGCCCCCGCCCCTCCCTCTTCTCCCCTTCCCTGCTCTGAACCACCACAGCCAGCTCAGCAGGCGCGGGAATAAGCTATGCGGGCGCGGCAGGGCTGAGTGCAGCAGGGGCGGGCATCAGCGCAGCGGGGGCAGGCATCAGTGCGACGGTGGGAAAAAGACCGCCCAAACCTGGAAGATCCGCGACTGAGAAGGAGCGGTCCATGCCGTCGCTCTCCATGCCCTCCATGCCAAGGTGAGTTGAGCTCCTTCCTTGTGACGTGGCTACGGTGCTAGGGTGGGCATCAGCGCGGCAGGGACGGGCATCAGTGCGACGGTGGGGAAGAGACCTCCCAAACCGTGAAGATCAGCCTCAGAGAAAGAGCGCTCCACGCCTTCGCTCCCCATGCCCTCTATGCCGAGGTGGGGATGGGGATTCGGAAGGGTACATATCATGGTGGCATGTCTTTTACTCCTTGCCATGCCAAGATACGTCTACCATTGCTCCTTATGCCGGCCATGTCAAGGTGACATGGGGATTTTTTTCTTCTTTATTTTCTCTTCTCCATTTTTTTTTTCTTCATTTTGGCCTGTCATGCCCGCAGATCGCTCACCCTCTCGAGGCACAAGGACGGGCCAGAGCGGCCAGAGAAAACTTTTGGGGACCTGCCCGCGCCCAAGCGCACTCATTTCCAATACTCTGAGCTCCAGGCAAGCATGCTTGCACCCCCACTCGTTCTCACAGTCACTCTGACGCTCACACTCACACACACTCAAGCACGTTTTCACTCACACTCGTGCTCACTCTCACACTTACTCATGCTCACACTCACACTTACTCATGCTCATTCTCACACTTACTCATACTCATTCTCACATTCACACATAGGGCGTACGACATGGGGCATTCGGCATGAGGCATGGGGCATAGAGCATAGGCAATGGTGCATGGGGATGGGAAACGGAGCTTGGAGCAAATCACTGCCTTCCCTCTCCCCTCTCCCTCCCCTCACCCTTCTGCCACCATCATCTCAGCTGGCGAAGGGGAATTTCGACAAGGCCAATGTGCAGGGCCAGGGCGGCTTTGTTTTTTTCTTCTCCCTTCTTATTCTAATATCATAATCTCCTCACCCCTCTCCCTCTCCTCACCCTCCCCTCCCCATCTCAGCTGGCGACGGGCAATTTCGACGAGGCCAATGTGCTGGGCCAGGGCGGCTTTGGGAAGGTCTACTACGGGGTGCTGCCCGTGCAGCCAGCGCAGGTGGGTGGGGTGGGTGTTTCACGGACGTGTGCTTTAAGTGCTGTAAGCGTTCTTTGAGGCCTTTCCATAGAGGGCTTACAAGGCCAATGTGCTGGGCTGGGCCAGGGTGGATCTGGGAAGGTCTACTATGGAATGCTGCCGGTGCAGCCAGTGCAGGTGCGGATCGAGGACATGGGCTTTAAGTGCTGTTCACATGCATCTGAGATGCACTTGCTGAGTCGAGTTGGAGGAGCGATACTTTTTGGTTTGACCTTGTTTGTAACCATGCCATCACAGGCGGGTCGACTCGGGAACCCCTTCTCGCTGTCTCCACACACTCTTCCCCTCACCCCACCTTCAATCAACCCTTCCATGTTCTCCCTTCTCCAGGTAGTGGCAGTGAAGATGCTGACGAGGGATGGGTCGACTCGATCAATGAGTCGCCTCCCTCTGTGTGTAACCACACACACTCTCCCCCCCTCTTCAACCCCCTCCCCCCCCCCACACCTCCCCACGTTTTTTCTCCCCCCGTCCGCAGGTGGTGGCGGTGAAGGTGCTGACGAGGGGCGGGTCGCAGGGCGACGAGGAGTTCACCCCTCTGTGTAACCACCCACCCACTCTTCCCCCCCGCGCCCCCCCTCCTCCCCTTCTCCCCCCTCCAGGTGGTGGCGGTGAAGGTGCTGACGAGGGGCGGGTCGCAGGGCGACGAGGAGTTCACGATTGAGCTGGAGCTGCTCAGCCGCCTGGAGCACAAACACCTGGTGAGACAGGGGCGGGGTAGTTGCGGAAGACGCAGGGAGCGTCCTACGTCTAGCGTCTAGACGCTAGACGCAGGACGCACATTAAGACGCTAGACGCATGGGGAAAAAAATTCGGGCAGCCCGAAAATTTTTATTCGCGCGCTCGAAATTGAGTTTCGCGATTTCGACACCAAATTCAATTTCGCGACATTGGAACCCCCTCCCACCCATTTCGACCATAGAAACCAGCCCCCAAGCATATGTATGATGAGATGTGAAGACATTTGTGAACTCAAGTATGGGGAAAAAAATATGGTACGGGGAAAAATTGACCCAATTGTGACATACGTGAATGTCCCCGACCCTCGCCATGTCCCATAGAAGTTTTTTTAGGCTGCCCGAACCTTTTTTTGCCTGCCCGGGCTTGCGTTTAATCCTGCGTCTAATCTGGCCTAAACTTGCGTCTAGCGTCTTAGACGCTGCGTCTAGACGCCAGCGTCTAAGACGCTAGACGCGTCTTCCGCAACTAGCAACACATGGTTTATGCAGCAAGTTAATTCGAGGTGTCTAGAAACCCGGCGCAACAAGGAGGTTACCATTGAGCTGGAGCTGCTCAGCTGCCTGGAGCTCAAACACCTGGTATGCGCAGGGGCCGCTATCACCTGGTGAGAACACAAACACCACCTGGCCTGGTGTCCCTTCTTGAAAATTGTGAAGAGATGAGAATTCATGCTTCATTTCGATCTTTCTCCCATCCACTCTATGTCTCCATCTCTCCGGCCCCCACTCACGCCGCACCTCTCCTCCTCTTCTCCCGAACCTCCATCCCTCTCCCCCGGCAGGTGAAGCTGTTTGGGTTCTGCATGCGCTCGCAGCAGCGCCTGCTCGTCTACCAGTTCCTGCATTTGAGTCTTCTCAAGGCTCCTATCTCTATCACTCACTCACACCTCCCCCCCACCCCATCACCTCCCTGCAGGTGAAGCTGTTTGGGTTCTGCATGCGCTCGCAGCAGCGTCTGCTCGTCTACCAGTTCCTGCCCAACGGCTCTCTCACGGATCACATGCACGGTGGGTTGGTTGGTGGTGGTGATGGTGAGTGTGTTGGAGATGAGTGTGTGGTGTAAGTGAGCTCATTGCTCTTCTGCTGCCTGCTCGTCTACCAGTTCCTGCCCAACGGCTCTCTCACGGACCACATGCACGGTGCGTTGGTGGTGGTAATGAGTGTGCTTGTGGCGAGTGTGTTGGTGGCGAGTGTGTTGGAGATGAGTGTGTGGTGTAAGTGAGCTCATTGCTCTGCTGTCTGCTCGTCTACCAGTTCCAGCCCAACGGCTCTCTCACGGATCACATGCACGGTGGGTTGGAGAGTGCTGCTGTGCTGATGTTGCTAGTGATGGCTGTGTGGTGTGAGGGAGCTGCTTGGTGAGTAGCGGCGGTATTGCTGTTCTGCCTGCTCGATCACCAGTCCTTGGCCAAAGGCTCTTTCACCCACCACACGCAACAGCTGAACATCAGGTCATGTTTCATCAGTTCACATGTTTCAAGCTTCAATCTTCTCCCCACCTTTCACCCCATCCCCCCTCTCCCTCTCCCCCACCATACCAGGCAAGAAGAGGGAGGAAAACGGGCCGCTATCCTGGTAGAGGAGGCTGCGGATAGCCGTGGGGTCGGCGAGGGGTCTGCAGTACCTGCACTCGCAGCGCCCTCAGCTTGATTACAGCCATTTATGGTGCACTCAGTTGTTGCAACCAGGCCCTTTCCCCCCTCCCTCCCTCTCCTTCCCTCCGCTTCACCCCTTCTTCCCACCTCCCCACCTCCACCTTGTCTTCATCCTTCCCCCTCTCACCCCCCATCCCAGGCAAGAAGAGGGAGGAGAACGGGCCGCTATCGTGGGAGCGGCGGCTGCGGATAGCCGTGGGGTCAGCGAGGGGCCTGCAGTACCTGCACTCGCAGCGCCCCCAGATCCTCCACCGTGACATCAAGTCGTCCAACATCCTTCTCACTGATAACTTCGCTGCCAAGGTGCGAGAAGGGACAGGGCTGTGTGCTGATATGGGGGCCTGCAGTACCTGCACTCGCAGCGCCCCCAGATCCTCCACCGGGACATCAAGTCCTCCAATATCCTTCTCACTGATAACTTCGCTGCCAAGGTGCGTAAAGGGACAAGGTGTGCGGGGTGGACAAGGAGTGTGGAGGGACAAGGAGTGAGGAGGGACAAGGTGTGTCGAGGGACGAGGTGTGTGCTAATGTGTGCCAGTACTCTATCCTCGTATACGAGCCTCCTCCACCGTGACATCAAGTCGTCCAACATCCTTCTCACTGATAACTTTGCTGTCAAGGTGCCTTGTCTTGTGCTTTATGGGGTTGTGGTGGGGTGTGTTTATGCGTGAAGTCAATCCCATCCCTCCCTCCCACCCTCCTGGTGCAAGCCTCCTCCACCGTGACATCAAGTCGTCCAACATCCTTCTCACTGATAACTTTGCTGCTAAGGTGCGCGGATTGATGAGGTGTGTGCTCATGCGTGGGCGATATCGTGTGCCATTGTAACGAGGTGACTTTTGAGTCGACTCAAAAGTGACCTCGTTACAATGGCAAACTTCGCTGCGAAGGTGCGCGGATTGATGAGGTGTGTGCTCATGCGTGAGCGATATCCCATCCCACCCTTCTGCCACTTGCGTTCTCCACCTTATCACCCCCTTCCAAACCTCTGCGCACTCAGGCGTTGACAAGGCTCCTCCCTTCTCCCCTCAAAACCATCCCCTTGGTTTTAATTCACACAGGTGGTGGAATTGGGGTGTGTGAAGCTGGTCAAGCGAACCATCTGGGTGGAGGACCCGCAGACGGGCGAGAGGAAGTTTCTCTGATCACTCTTGTTTCCCCCTGACCTGACTCGTCCTCCTGTTTCGACATGACTGTGCCTCTGTGGATAGAACAGGTGGCGGATTTCGGGTGTGCGAAGCTGATCAAGCAGACGATCAAGCTGGAGGGCCCGCAGACGAGGCAACAATAAGGGACCGTCCCTTCCTCTCTCTCCCTTCCCCCCTGGGCACACACTCAGGTGGCGGATTTTGGGTGTGCGAAGCTGATAAAGCAGACGATCAGGGTGGAGGACCCAGTCAAGGGGCAACAAACGAAGACGCTCTTTTCGGACTTCCCGTCCCCACTCCCCCAACCAGGTTGCGGATTTCGGGTGTGCGAAGCTGATCAAGCAGACGATCAGGGTGGAGGACCCGCAGACGGGCGAGATGGTGGAGCGGTTGGGGGAGAGCGTGGACGTGGCCATGGGGACCCATGGCCACATGGCGCCTGAGATCCTCATGACTGGGGAGATCAGCTCCGCTACCGACGTGTACAGGTGGGCCGAGTGTGCTTGTTCTAATTAACCACGGGCACACATGGTGGAGCGGTTGGGGGAGAGTGTTGATGTGGCCATGGGCATTCACGGTTCAGGGTACACATGGCTTCTTAGATTCTCATAACTGGCGAGATCAGCTCCGTGGATGGTGCGTATGTGCGCGTGGATGGTGCGTATGTGCGCGTGGATGGTGCGTATGTGCGTGTGGATGGTGCGTATGTGCGTGTGGATGGTGCGTATGTGCGTGTGGATGGTGCGTATGTGTATGTGTATGTGTATGTGTATGTGTATGTGTATGTGTATGTGGATGTATGAATGGTGGAGCGGCTGGGGGAGAGCATTGACGCCGCCACATGGCCACATGATAAGCCATGTGGCCACGGGCACACATGGCCTCATGGCTCATCACGGGCCAGCTCCGTGTCCTTCCCTTCATCATGTGCTCTTGCCTCGTGTCAACCCCAATGCGCCCTCTTCATTCCTCCCCCCCCACCGCTTCTCCCTCCCTCGCAGCTTCGGAGTGGTGCTCTTTGAGCTCATCACGGGCCAGCTCCCTGTCCTTCCCATCATGATGTGCCTTGTGTGTGTGACACTGTCTGCACTCTGGTGTCAACCCCAATGCGCCCCTCCTCTTTCCCCTACCTACCACACTGCTCCCTGCCTCCAGCTTCGGAGTGGTGCTCTTTGAGCTCGTCACGGGCCAGCTCCCTGTCCTGGCGGATGGCACACAGCTCGTGCACTGGGTACGTCTCTCTAGCAATCAGGATGTTTCTTGGACTTTTCAAACACACACAGCCCGTGCTCTGGTTCCGTCTCTGTAGCACACGCGATTAGTCTCCTTCTCTCCTTCGCTTATTTTTTAGTCGACTCAAAAGTAGCACGCTCGTCTTCTTCACTCAAAAAATACTTTAGTCGACTAGTCGACTAGCACACTCATTATTTTCTTCACTCAAGCCGATAGTTTATAATTCGCACAAACCAACTAGTCTCCTTCTCTCACTCGCTCCATGCTGCAGTTGCCATTGTGTGAGCAGAAGCCGTGTTAGGAGCTGATCGACCCGGACGTGCTTGCAGCTCAAGCTGGTTCTTGAGAAAATTATAAAAAAAAACCATTGTGTTACCTTCTTCCCATGCTGCAGGTCACTCCGCTGTGTGAGCAGAAGCGGTGGGATGAGCTCATCGACCCGGACGTGCTTGCAGCACAAGCCGGCTCCACTCCCACCGGCCCTGCTGCCGTCGCTGCCGCCGCCGCTGCCGCCGCTGCCATTGCTGCTGGCGCTGCTGCTGCTGCAGGTGGTAGTGGTGACGCTTCAAGTGCAGAGGCGGCTGGCACCTGCTCTGGGTCGAGCAGCATCAGCTCCACCAGCGCCAGCACCACCACGAGCAACAGCAGCAGCAGTAGCAACAGCAGCACCACAACAACCACCAGCAGTAGCAGTGGTGGCAGTGGGGGTGCGAGTGGCGGGAGGCAGAGGCCGATCAGTGCGTCGCTGATCCGCTTTGCAGAGCTGGCGCACTCGTGCATCCTCTTTGACCCGCTCTCCCGCCCTTCCGTGGCAGATGTGGCCCATGCCCTCCATGCCATCTATCTCGGTATGTCACTTGCATCGGCATGTGCAACATGTCATCACGGTTCAATTGCCGCATGCCATGTGTTTCCATGCCCTCCACTGTTCGTCTCAGTTCATTTCACCACCAGTGAAGCCAACGTTGCAACCAGGTTCGACTAAACACATTCAATTACATGCCCAATTCCCTGACCAATGCGCTGCCCAATTTATCTGCCCAATTCTTCTGCCCAATTCTTCTGCCCATTTTCTCTGCCCAACCCTGTGAGCAGACAAAGACTACAGCTCGATACCCTCTGCTGCACAACAGAAGCGATCCCAATCCCATTCCCAGCACCAACACCAGAACCAGTCCCAATCCCAGGGCCAAGCGGCCCAGTCCTCCTCCTCTCGCTCCTCCCCCACCACCTCTGATGATGACGGCAGCAATCGCGGGTCACACCACAAAGGCACTCAACCCAACAGCCACAGCAGCGGCGGCAGTAATTCGAGCGGCGGTGGGGTGTTACCGCCAAACGAAGGGTAAGATGGTGACGAGTGATGGTCGCGGGTTGATTTGGTGAGCTGACTTGGTTTTAGGAGCTTTTAGTGGATGGTGGTTGTTGTTTACGGTTGTTTTGTTTTCTTGCGCTGTCCCCCCACGCATTTTCTCTGCTTTCTTCTTTTTTTTGCTTTGGTCAGTGGGAGTCGAGAGGAGAAGCTCGAGCTGGTACGAAAGATGCGACAGATATTGCAAGAGGGGCAAGAAGAGGAATTACGATGGGATTCTTGAGCTACCACATTTTAGAGGTCTAGGATATGAAATTGTTACTAAATTCGAGCCGGCTCTCCACTCAACCTTGTGGGTAGGAATGCGTACAAATTAGCATTAGTGATGCAAGCAAGCTTGCACTAGCCATTGTGTAATATTAGGTGTCTTCACATCGTGTTTCTTGCACTTGATTCTTTTATATGTTGCGGATGCCTGTAACGGAAAGCTGGCAGTCCATGATCCGGGGTTGCTGCTGAGGTTCAGTGAAGATGCTGCGAACATGTGGAGACACGTGTAGAAAAAGGCTCGCGTCAAATCAGAGAAAAGCCCGCCTCTTTCCTCCCAAACCAGGCTCACACGCTAGCGTGGAAAAATGCCGCGTCGGACAGAAAAAAGTTGCTGTGCCGACCGAAGCAACAAGGGGTGGGGGGATGAGTGAAACCCTGATATCTTCCCCAATTCGCGGAGGTCTCTAGGCATTCCAAGTTCCAAGCCAACCCAGCATACCCCCCCACCCCACTTCCAGTCCAGAATTCCAGTCTCACCTCCTCCTGCCGCTTCTGCTGCTCCTGTGTGTGACCTAGGCGGTGTTCGGCAGCCAGGGGAGGGGGTTTGAGGGAGATTCGAAATGTCAGGCCTCCAGGTTCGACCTGTACGAACCAGGCAAAACACTTCAGTCAGACATGAAAAATGTGAAAAAAATGTCGAACGTGGCCCAAAAACGCGACGCGAACCCCACGCTAGGCTTGGTTCCGCGTCGCATCCTCCCCCAGATCCCCCCCCAAGGCGGAAACACTCCGCCCTATTCGGGGGATATAAAATGGATTCCGTTGAGTTGCCAGGGCTTACAAGGGATGGAAATTGGATTCCTCGACCCAGCATTTCGTGTGAATATTTACCCTAGACTCTAAATTACTGGGCTGCCACGACATCAGAAATATAATGTAAAAAAAGGAGTTTCGGAAAAATAATTATTAATTCACCAGACCTGAAATTGTTAAATTAGGACATACAATTTGATATAAGGTTGGGTTGGTCTACGGGAGGTGGGCTACCTAAACATTTCGCAACAGTAAACGCGACAGGCATGCCGAAAACTGTTGTGGGCGAGAAGCTTCGTCTCGCGCAGATGCAGGTTCGTTCGCCCCCGAATACCTAATCGCCCGTCCGCGCCTTCCCCCCCTTACGTTCCACTTGCGCCTGGACCCCAGACCTGGAGTCAACGACTGTTGACTCCGAGTTGACCAGTTTCGAAAATGGATTCCCCACCCCCCCCCTCGCTGGATCCCCTGTGCTGCCGAACATCGCCCTAGTCACTTATTGGCGAGCTACTAACCTTGGTGTGACTAGCCTTGCTGGTGCTGCTGTTGCTGGAGGGTGGCTGGCGTTGGAAGTGGCCTGTAGTGTGCTGTGAAGCGTAACCTCCCAGGGGAAACTACAGTCGATCGTGGTCTCCCATTTCGCTCCGGAGCTCACTCTAGCGGGAGCAGCTTGGTCCATCACGAGCCGCCATGAGCGGCGTGTTGGAGCTTACTGGTGAGGCCGCGTGCTCTAATCCATGCTCGTTTCTTGCTGCACTCTGAGTCGGACTCAGGGATTACCTGAAAAGAACACCTGAAGAGTCTGCTGAGCAGTCTTTCGAAATGTTACCTGTAGTTTCCTGCTCGTATGCTGACGTTTTTCGTAAACGCTACCTTTCAAAGGCTTCCATTCCTATGGTTGCATTCCTGCCATCGCTTCGTTCATGTCGTCTCGTCTCGTCTCGTCTTGTCTCGTCTCGTCTCGTCTCGTCTCGTCTCGTCTCGTCTCGTCTCGTCTCGTCTCGTCTCGTCTCGTCTCGTCTCGTCTCGTCTCGTCTCGTCTCGTCTCGTCTCGTCTCGTCTCGTCTCGTCTCGTCTCGTCTCGTCTCGTCTCGTCTCGTCTCGTCTCGTCTCGTCTCGTCTCGTCCCGTCTCGTCTCGTCTCGTCTCGTCTCGTCTCTTCTCGTCTCGTCTCGTCTCGTCTCAACTGTTGCACAGCGAATTAATGAAGTCTTCCCTCGATCCCCGCCTCCCGTATTTCCTCCATTCCTTTATTCCCGCGCCTTTCTCCGTCATCCCCCTATTCCCGTCTCCCCTTCCCCTGCTACCGTACTCCGCCAGTGGTGGGAGCGTCGTGGCTGAAAGTCACGGAGTTCTCTCTGAGGCGCCTCACAAGTCGTCTCATCTCATCCTGCCTCGTCTCGTCTGTCCCTACCCTGTCCTCCGCATATTCCCGGCTCCTTTACCTGGTACCTTTCCCTGCCAGTGGTGGGAGCGTCGGGTCTGAAAGACAAGGAGCTCTTCACGAAGCAGGACCCGTACGTCGTGGTGGAGTACGGTTCTCAACGGTTCCGCACCAAGACAGATAAAGGTGCGTGCGATAGTTAGGGGTAATGCGTGTGACGCTGATTCGGCTAGGCGGATCATGTAAGGAGGGGATGTGCCGCCGGAATGGATCATAGTTCGTAAGTAACGTAACTAACGAGCAGAATTTTATGTGAATACGAAGGAGTGTCTTTTGTAAGCATACACATCCCAACTGCAGCTTCTGCGGTGTAGAGGAGTTCTCAGCGGTGCTCCTTACCTATCCTTCCCTCCCCCACCCCTCACCAACTCCTCACCACAGATGGCGGTACCACCCCTGCATTCAACTCCACATTCCACCTGCTGCTGTTCCCAGGAGTGGAATGTTCAACCTTCACCTCAACCCTTCTCCCTTTTCCCCCATCCCGCCCACGCCCCCCACAGATGGCGGCACCACCCCTGCATTCAACTCCACATTCCACCTGCTGCTGTTCCCAGGAGTGGAATGTTCAACCTTCACCTCAACCCTTCTCCCTTTTCCCCCATCCCGCCCACGCCCCCCACCGATGGCGGCACCACCCCTGCATTCAACTCCACATTCCACCTGCTGCTGTTCCCAGGAGTGGAATGTTCAACCTTCACCTCAACCCTTCTCCCTTTTCCCCCATCCCGCCCACGCCCCCCACAGATGGGGGCACCACCCCTGCATTCAACTCCACCTTCCACCTGCAGCTGCTCCCAGGTGTGGAGGAGTTCTCTGCGGTGCTGTGGAATGACAACCTGGGGCGCGACGACGTGATTGGCAGCTGCCGGGTGAATTTCCGCCAGGCGTTCTCCATGGGCGTGTGGGACATGTGGCACCCCGTGTTCACCAAGAGCCAGAAGTGAGTAATGAGTGATTACTGTAGATGCTATATTGTGAGTTGATGCTATATTGCTGTCAGGCGTTCTCCGTGGCCTCAAGGGTTTTCAAGCATGCTGGGTGTTCTGAACATGTCACATACACGTAATATCTCGTTTATGTTGCTTGGCTGCCTGCTTGTTGTTAATGACTGAGCTGTGTACTTCCCGGTTTTGCGTGTCTTTGCAGGCAACGTGGCAGCCTTCATTTGATTATCAAGGCTCCTGGGGTAAGTGCAGCCCCCCCTTTCCCCCTCCCGTTTCCCCCGTCCCCTTTCCCCATCAACTTCCCCTTCCCCTCGCCCACCACTTTTGCCCCCATTCACCTTCCCCCATTCATTGTTATCTGCTCTTGCTTTCTCCAATGCTTGCTTTTCTGCTTGATCATTCCTTATCAAACCGCTTTCCCTTCCCTTCCCAATCCATCTCACCACTTCCTCTCTCTCCCCCCTCCGCTCCACCCTTCACCCCCTCTGCTACTCCTCACCTCAGGCCAGGGCACCCGGAGGGTACCCCCCATCATCATATCCACCTGCACCGTACCCCACCGCACAATACCCCCCAGCATACCCCCCCGCAGGGTCACCCTACCCGCCCCCATCCGGCCCACCAAACCCATACCCACCCGCCTCAGGCTACCCCGCCCCTCCCCCATCCGCCTACCCTCCCCCATCCTCCTCCTCCGCGCCTCCCCCATCCGCCTACCCTCCCCCAGCCGCATCCCCCTACCCTCCCACCGGCTACCCTGCCCCTTACCCCCAGAGCGCCCATGCCCCTTACCCTGCTGCCCACACCGCCCCTCCTGCCTACTCCAAGCCTCCTAGCGCGTCCTCTTCAATGAACGCTGTGCTGGGAGCAGTGGGGGCGTTGGTGGGAACAGCAGCAGCATATGCTGGGCATGGCCATGGGCATGGGCATGTGCATTATCCCCCAGCGCCGTATGGGTATCCCCCCCCTCCGGCGCCGTATGGGTATGGGGCTCCTCCCGTGGTGGTACACCACCATGGGCACCATGGTTACCACCACAGGCACCACCATTATAAGCACAAGTACAAGCGCAAGGGTTTTTTCGGCAAACGCAAGGGGTTCTTCAAATGAGGGAGCTTGATGACATGATTTGTTCAAAATATCCTTGATTTCAGACAAGGGGCCTTGATTTTTGTACAGTCAAAGTTGCACATCGAGGTGTTTTTGGCCTATGGTACTTGCTTGACTCTGTTTCCGAAGTGCGCCATTATTGAGAAAAAGCCTTTTTATTTTAGTAGTGACACGTAGCTAACTGAACAAGTTGTTCTTGCCTTTGGTTATCAATTCCTTTTAAGGTAGTACGTAATGTACCTGTTTGGTCTGGTTTTTCACATTACAGCACGTTGGGCCTTCAATGCAGTCTCCCTACCTCTCCTGCACAACTTTCACGATCAGAGTCCACTCAGCATCCAGCAGCTGCGCTGCCGCTCCTAAAAGTCCTCCAAGTCATCCTCATCATCACCAAAAGAAAACACTGAAGCATCAGCAGCGCTGGCAGCAGCAATGGCAAAGTCACTCGACGGCCCAAAGAACTGCAAGTCCTTGTCCTTGCTCTCCCCTGCCCCCACCCCTGCTGCTGCTGCCGGCTTGACCGCTGCTGCAGTAACAGCAGCAGCTTTAACAGGACTGGCAGAACCAGCAGCAGTGCTTCCTGTGATCCCTGTCCCTGCCCCTGCCTGTGCCCCTGGGCCAGAGGCATTACGCAGAGGGCTTCCCATGAAAAGAGCAGACGGGTCAGCAGCCACAGCAGAGAGGGATGGGCTGGGACTGGGGCTGAAGCTCGGGTTTGGGCTGGTTACCATGCCCTGGTTACCAGCGGTTACCGGGTTGGACGGGCCACGGAGGGGCGACGAAGCTCTCCCAGCCATTCCTGCTGCTCCTGCTCCTGCTCCTGCTGCTGCTGCTGCTGCTGGGCTGGAAGCAGTACCAGCTGCTGTTCCCAGGGAGGTCAGGCTCAGGCCAGAACCGGCTGGGGAACCAATTCTCCCCAATGCTGCTGCTGCTGCTGCTGCTGCACCTCCTGCGGCCACCCCTGCTGCAGGGGAAGGAACACCAGAAACCTCCTCGAGTCCAATCAGAGGCGGAGTTTCCCTGCTCTCCTTCCCCACCCTCCCTGCTCCACCTGCTCCACGCCCCCTTCCCACCTCTTCCTTCTCCTCCTCCCCCCTCTCATCCTCGTCATCATCACTGTCACTGAAGATGTCTGGGTGCATATCGTCCTCCTCCTCTGCCCTCCTTCCGCCCACCCCCCCTTTTGATTGGCCCGTGCCACTACCACCTTCAAGTGAGTGCTTTGGTCCCCTCGAACCACCAGCAGCACCAGCACCAGCACCACAATTAGTGTTGCCAGCAGCAGTGGTTCGAGACCCTGCTGAGGCAGAAGCGGAAGCTGAAGGTTTCTGCTTCGCCTTTTGCTGCTGCTGTTGCTGCTGGGGCGTCGCCTGGGGCTTGGCTGTTGCTCCCATCATGAAGCTCTGGAAAGAAGCTGCGAGTGAGAAGCCTGACGAGGCTGGGGTTGGGACGGAAGGAGGGGGGAAAGGGAGGACAAGGGAGGAGAAAGGAGGAGAAGGGAGGGGAAGGGAGAAAGGGACTTCATATGAACGTCGAGCGTCGGCCTAGCTGTAGCTCCCATCAGAAAGCTCTGGAAGGAGGAGCCTGGTGAGAGAGAGGGAGAACCTTGAGGGAGAACCTTGAGGGAGAACCTTGAGGGGGGCTGGCAGAGATGCAGAGATGGGAACTGGAGGCGGGAGGAGCAGGAGTTTCAAGAGGGCTTCATGAAGATTCTAGAAGACGGAAGCTGCTCTGTTCGTGTATTGAATTGGCAAACAGAACTATTAGTAACAACATTAGTAACGACATTAGTAACGACACATGCAAGATCAAGCACGAAACTTCGACTCCAATAAGCAGCACAAGCGGAGTTGACTGCCAGTCATTCGACAACGACTGGCACTCCCAATCGTTTCACAAGCCGATTCTTCAGATGCCTAAATAAGAGCGGCCAAGGACCAAGACTCCCTTTTCACTCACCTTTGGCAGCAGCAGCCGGCGCAGGCTTGGAAGCAAAACCTGCAGCACCTGCAGCAGCAGCAGCCAGGCCTTTCCCCTTGGCGTCTGTCGCTCCTCCCTTCCCTGCTGCAGATGAGCTAGCAGGCGCCGAGGTGGCAGCAGCAGCAGCGGGCACAGTCCAGCACTCGCCTCATCTCACTCACCCTTGGTCGCAGCAGGCGCAGCACTTGCAGCAGAAGCCTTGCCTTTCCCCTTGGCGTCTGTCGCTCCTCCCTTCCCTGCTGCAGATGAGCTAGCAGGCGCCGAGGTGGCAGCAGCAGCAGCGGCAGCAGCAGGGGTTTTCTTCTTGGGGTGCGGCAGGGGGGCGTCGTGGTCCAGCAGAATTACCTCCACTTGCAGCCCGGGCGATGGGAGACGGCGCTGAGGGGAGCAGCGAGGGGAAGAAAGAGGGGGGGGAGAGAGGGGGAAGATGCAAGAGTGGGTGATAGCAGGGGAGCGTCGTGATCCAGCAGAATGACCTCCACTTGCAGCCCGGGTGAAGGGAGACGGCGCTGAGGGGGGAGCAGCGAGCATGGGGGGTGAAGCGGGACAAGGAGAGGGGCAAGGAGAGAGAAGGCGAGATGTGTGAGGGCTTGGGGGTGCGGCAGGGGGGCGTCGTGGTCCAGCAGAATTACCTCCACTTGCAGCCCGGGCGATGGGAGACGGCGCTGGGGGATAGTGAAGCAGGGAAAGGGAGCGGAGATGGGGGGGGAAAGGTGGGGGATGAAGGAAGAAGATGCGTGAGTGGGTCAATGCATGGCAGCGGAGCGTCGTGGTCGAGAACGGGGAGGTGTTATGGTAACGGGGAGGTGTCATGGTAACGGGGAGGTGTTATGGTCACAGGGAGGTGTTATGGTCATGGTAACGGGGAGGTATCATGGTCATGGTTGGCTGTGAGGGGAGATGGCGCTGGGGGAAGCAGTGCAAGGGTGGGCGACAGACAGACAGACAGGAAGCAATGGGGGAGTCTGTAAGCTGCCCTGTGCACTGTGCACCTCACTCACCCATTGCTTCCTTGTCAAGTGCATGATGCCCATTGCACCTGTAAGCTGCCCTCACCTTGTCAAAATAGTCAAATTCTTCAAACGGAATGACGAGGCGGTTTTTGAGGCGCCTCAGAAGTCCTCCCACCCTTCCCCCCTTGCTGCCCCCGCTGCCTCATCAGCCATACCCCTCCTCTGTGCTGCGCCCCTCACCCACCCTCCTCTGTGCTGCGCCCCTCACCCACCCTCCTCTGTGCTGCGCCCCTCACCCACCCTCCTCTGTGTGTGCCATGCCCCTCACCCACCCTCCTCTGTGTGTGCCATGCCCCTCACCTTGTCAAAGTTGTCGAATTCTTCACCACGGAATGACAAGGCGGTTTATTAGGCGCCTCAAAAGTCCTTCCACCCTCCCCCCCCCTTGCTGCCCCCGCTGCATCATCACCCGTGCCCCTCCTCTGTGCCATGCCCCTCACCTTGTCGAAGTTGTCAAATTCTTCACACGGAATGACAAGGCGGTTGGGCATCATGCCTGTGTTGAGCCAGCTGGGGAATACGGGAAAGGGGCGAGAGGGGAGGGCCGGCACAAGGGGGAATTAAGGAAAGAGGGACAGAGGGAGGATGAGAGGGAGCAAGGGAGGGAAGGAGGGACAGAGGAAGGGACGGAGGGAGGGAGGGGAGAGGGGCGGTAGAGGCAGCAATCGCCCTCCAACGACCGACCACCACCACTTCAATACTCAGGCACATGCAAGAGAAAGAACAAAAAAACACCTTCTCACCAGTAAAAATGCCCATTCCTGTCGATGAATTTGAGGCAGAAGTCCCCCTCCAGGGGGGCCAAGCCCCGCTCGCCAGGCGGGGCGAAGACCCCTCGTTTGTACCTCACTCACTCGTTTGTTCCTCACTCACTCGCTTGTTCCTCACTCACTCGTTTGTTCCTCACTCACTCGTTTGTTCCTCACTCACTCGTTTGTTCCTCACTCACTCGTTTGTTCCTCGAAAACATGCACAACGACTCCCTCACCAGTAGAAATCCCCGTTGCGGTCGATGAATCTGAGGCAGAAGTCGCCCTCCACAGGGGCTATGCCGCGCTCGCCAGGCAGGTGGCTATGCTGCGCTCTCCCGGCAGGGCGATGATCATCAACACCACCCCATAATCCTCAACAGCGTGTGGACAACACATGCGTTCTCACCAGTAGAAATCCCCGTTGCGGTCGATGAATTTGAGGCAGAAGTCGCCCTCCACAGGGGCTATGCCCCGGTCGCCAGGCGGGGCGATGGTCAACCCTGCCTCATACTCCTCAAGAGCATGTGGAGAAAAACCCATTCTCACCAGTAGAAATCCCCGTTGCGGTCGATGAACTTGAGGCAGAAGTCGCCCTCCACGGGGGCTATGCCCCGCTCGCCAGGCAGGGCGAATACCACCACGCCCTCCCTCTGTGTCGACTGGTGCCACATGTCGTCGGGCTATTGGGCGAGGGAGGGAGCGCAGGGGGAAAGAACGGAGGGAGGACAGCAGCGAGGGGGGAGGGTGAAGGTACCTAGCCCCAGACAGAAGGGTTAGGAGTTGTTCAGAAGTGAGACAAGCATAGCTTTAAGATTGCTTGTGCGAACAACCTTCGTGTGACCTTAAAACATGTTTCCCTTTCTTTTTCGTTAGAAGAAGCTGGGATTCTACGCACAAAAGAGAGACGATATGGGCTCTCACCATGAAGTCTTTTGTCTTTGGATGCTTGCGGGAGTTGAAGAGAACACCTGGCAGGCATCAAAGCCACAACCATGCATGTCAAGAAGAGAATTAGCCTTTAAATGAATTCATCAAAAGCCACAACCGTGCATGTCAAGAAGAGAAATAGCCTTTAAGGGAAGTCAAGGGCGCAGCTAGTACTGCCACAACAACGCATGTCTGGGTGAAAGATAGGTTTGGGAAAAATCAAAACCCAATCAAATCAGGAATTTCGGCGTTTTATTATGTACAGAAGTTTGATGGGAAATCTCAATCAGGAGACCACTTCTGTGGAATAGCATGACACGTGGGCACACCTGATTGGTCGGAGACAACAATGGCAGGTCGCACCCAGTAGGGGCAGCGATGAATGCGAAGGCCACGGATGTGACACCTGGCGCAACGGGATTGGATGCGGTCGGATTGAATTCGGTTGCACAGATGATCTCACCAGGATGGCTCATTGTGAAACCCAATATTGGCATGGCTCGAATTAGAATAGTTGATATGAGCCGATTCATTCATTGTGAGGGAAGACTTTCTACTATCTCGCGAAATGGGGGGGTGGGTGTTTTCAGTGTGTAGACGGGTTAATCCTGACCGTGTACTTACTTGCGGGGTGGAGGGATGATTCCGTGCCTGACCCTGAGAATCTCTTCAAAATACTTCACATATCGCTGGTGTGACAGAGCGGTGTGGGATACAAGGGAGATACAACTGGGTGAAAAGAAGGTTGAGAGGGGTGCAAAGGCTGACCCTGAGAATCTCTTCAGAGTACTTCACATAGCGCTGGTGTGAAGGAGTGCTTTGACGGAGGGGTGTGTGAGGACAGGGAGTAAAACGATGCGAAGACAGGTTAGAGGAGAGGTGGCTTATGAGGCGTAAGGGGAAAAAAAAAAAAAAAAAAAAAAACAATCAAACAAAAATGAACAAATTCTTGAGTCACTTTGGTGCAAAATCTGGGTGCAAGGCAATGAGGGCAGCAGAACAAACCTTCTGGCTGGGCAGCACAAGGGCCTTTCCATCGGTGCATCGCTTGGCGTTGAAATAGTTTATGGCCTCGTCTGCTGTTGCATAGTACTGCGGTGGGGCGACGATGGGTGGGGTGGTGGAAAATTTGAATGGGAGTGAGGGAATGGTAAATACGATTGCCTCGCCTGCTGTTGCGTAGCACTGTAGTTGTGCGATATTGGTGCTGGCAAGAGGCAGGGAAGAAGGTTCAACAGGGGAGGGGCGTGTGTTGAGGAAGAGCAGCAGAGAGGAGGCCATGAGGCCTGAGCGGAAAAAGAAGGACTCGAACCACAGGAATCCAACAGTGGGCAAAAACTTTATGAAGAACTGGAGACGTACGTTGAGGAAGAGCAGGAGTTGATGGTACTTTTGAGACTTCTCAAAAGTACCACCAGCAGTGGGCAAAAACTTTATGAAGAACCGGAGACGTACGTTGAGGAAGAGCAGGAGTTGATGGTACTTTTGAGACTTCTCAAAAGTACCACCAGCAGTGGGCAAAAACTTTATGAAGAACCGGAGACGTACGTTGAGGAAGAGCAGGAGTTGATGGTACTTTTGAGACTTCTCAAAAGTACCACCAGCAGTGGGCAAAAACTTTATGAAGAACCGGAGACGTACGTTGAGGAAGAGCAGGAGTTGATGGTACTTTTGAGACTTCTCAAAAGTACCACCAGCAGTGGGCAAAAACTTTATGAAGAACTGGAGACGTACGTTGAGGAAGAGCAGGAGTTGATGGTACTTTTGAGACTTCTCAAAAGTACCACCAGCAGTGGGCAAAAACTTTATGAAGAACCGGAGACGTACGTTGAGGAAGAGCAGGAGTTGATGGTACTTTTGAGACTTCTCAAAAGTACCACCAGCAGTGGGCAAAAACTTTATGAAGAACCGGAGACGTACGTTGAGGAAGAGCAGGAGTTGATGGTACTTTTGAGACTTCTCAAAAGTACCACCAGCAGTGGGCAAAAACTTTATGAAGAACCGGAGACGTACGTTGAGGAAGAGCAGGAGTTGATGGTACTTTTGAGACTTCTCAAAAGTACCACCAGCAGTGGGCAAAAACTTTATGAAGAACCGGAGACGTACGTTGAGGAAGAGCAGGAGTTGATGGTACTTTTGAGACTTCTCAAAAGTACCACCAGCAGTGGGCAAAAACTTTATGAAGAACCGGAGACGTACGTTGAGGAAGAGCAGGAGTTGATGGTACTTTTGAGACTTCTCAAAAGTACCACCAGCAGTGGGCAAAAACTTTATGAAGAACCGGAGACGTACGTTGAGGAAGAGCAGGAGTTGATGGTACTTTTGAGACTTCTCAAAAGTACCACCAGCAGTGGGCAAAAACTTTATGAAGAACCGGAGACGTACGTTGAGGAAGAGCAGGAGTTGATGGTACTTTTGAGACTTCTCAAAAGTACCACCAGCAGTGGGCAAAAACTTTATGAAGAACTGGAGACGTACGTTGAGGAAGAGCAGGAGTTGATGGTACTTTTGAGACTTCTCAAAAGTACCACCAGCAGTGGGCAAAAACTTTATGAAGAACCGGAGACGTACGTTGAGGAAGAGCAGGAGTTGATGGTACTTTTGAGACTTCTCAAAAGTACCACCAGCAGTGGGCAAAAACTTTATGAAGAACTGGAGACGTACGTTGAGGAAGAGCAGGAGTTGATGGTACTTTTGAGACTTCTCAAAAGTACCACCAGCAGTGGGCAAAAACTTTATGAAGAACTGGAGACGTACGTTGAGGAAGAGCAGGAGTTGATGGTACTTTTGAGACTTCTCAAAAGTACCACCAGCAGTGGGCAAAAACTTTATGAAGAACTGGAGACGTACGTTGAGGAAGAGCAGGAGTTGATGGTACTTTTGAGACTTCTCAAAAGTACCACCAGCAGTGGGCAAAAACTTTATGAAGAACTGGAGACGTACGTTGAGGAAGAGCAGGAGTTGATGGTACTTTTGAGACTTCTCAAAAGTACCACCAGCAGTGGGCAAAAACTTTATGAAGAACCGGAGACGTACGTTGAGGAAGAGCAGGAGTTGATGGTACTTTTGAGACTTCTCAAAAGTACCACCAGCAGTGGGCAAAAACTTTATGAAGAACTGGAGACGTACGTTGAGGAAGAGCAGGAGTTGATGGTACTTTTGAGACTTCTCAAAAGTACCACCAGCAGTGGGCAAAAACTTTATGAAGAACTGGAGACGTACGTTGAGGAAGAGCAGGAGTTGATGGTACTTTTGAGACTTCTCAAAAGTACCACCAGCAGTGGGCAAAAACTTTATGAAGAACTGGAGACGTACGTTGAGGAAGAGCAGGAGTTGATGGTACTTTTGAGACTTCTCAAAAGTACCACCAGCAGTGGGCAAAAACTTTATGAAGAACTGGAGACGTACGTTGAGGAAGAGCAGGAGTTGATGGTACTTTTGAGACTTCTCAAAAGTACCACCAGCAGTGGGCAAAAACTTTATGAAGAACCGGAGACGTACGTTGAGGAAGAGCAGGAGTTGATGGTACTTTTGAGACTTCTCAAAAGTACCACCAGCAGTGGGCAAAAACTTTATGAAGAACCGGAGACGTACGTTGAGGAAGAGCAGGAGTTGATGGTACTTTTGAGACTTCTCAAAAGTACCACCAGCAGTGGGCAAAAACTTTATGAAGAACCGGAGACGTACGTTGAGGAAGAGCAGGAGTTGATGGTACTTTTGAGACTTCTCAAAAGTACCACCAGCAGTGGGCAAAAACTTTATGAAGAACTGGAGACGTACGTTGAGGAAGAGCAGGAGTTGATGGTACTTTTGAGACTTCTCAAAAGTACCACCAGCAGTGGGCAAAAACTTTATGAAGAACTGGAGACGTACGTTGAGGAAGAGCAGGAGTTGATGGTACTTTTGAGACTTCTCAAAAGTACCACCAGCAGTGGGCAAAAACTTTATGAAGAACTGGAGACGTACGTTGAGGAAGAGCAGGAGTTGATGGTACTTTTGAGACTTCTCAAAAGTACCACCAGCAGTGGGCAAAAACTTTATGAAGAACTGGAGACGTACGTTGAGGAAGAGCAGGAGTTGATGGTACTTTTGAGACTTCTCAAAAGTACCACCAGCAGTGGGCAAAAACTTTATGAAGAACCGGAGACGTACGTTGAGGAAGAGCAGGAGTTGATGGTACTTTTGAGACTTCTCAAAAGTACCACCAGCAGTGGGCAAAAACTTTATGAAGAACCGGAGACGTACGTTGAGGAAGAGCAGGAGTTGATGGTACTTTTGAGACTTCTCAAAAGTACCACCAGCAGTGGGCAAAAACTTTATGAAGAACCGGAGACGTACGTTGAGGAAGAGCAGGAGTTGATGGTACTTTTGAGACTTCTCAAAAGTACCACCAGCAGTGGGCAAAAACTTTATGAAGAACCGGAGACGTACGTTGAGGAAGAGCAGGAGTTGATGGTACTTTTGAGACTTCTCAAAAGTACCACCAGCAGTGGGCAAAAACTTTATGAAGAACCGGAGACGTACGTTGAGGAAGAGCAGGAGTTGATGGTACTTTTGAGACTTCTCAAAAGTACCACCAGCAGTGGGCAAAAACTTTATGAAGAACCGGAGACGTACGTTGAGGAAGAGCAGGAGTTGATGGTACTTTTGAGACTTCTCAAAAGTACCACCAGCAGTGGGCAAAAACTTTATGAAGAACCGGAGACGTACGTTGAGGAAGAGCAGGAGTTGATGGTACTTTTGAGACTTCTCAAAAGTACCACCAGCAGTGGGCAAAAACTTTATGAAGAACCGGAGACGTACGTTGAGGAAGAGCAGGAGTTGATGGTACTTTTGAGACTTCTCAAAAGTACCACCAGCAGTGGGCAAAAACTTTATGAAGAACCGGAGACGTACGTTGAGGAAGAGCAGGAGTTGATGGTACTTTTGAGACTTCTCAAAAGTACCACCAGCAGTGGGCAAAAACTTTATGAAGAACTGGAGACGTACGTTGAGGAAGAGCAGCAGGGAGGAGGTCATGAGGCCTGTGCGGCCCAGCCCCTCCTTGGAGTGAATCACGAGCATGCGATCACTCCACTCTATGGGGCTGTTCTCATGCTGCTCCGAACTGCCCTCATGCACCACACCATCACCGCCACCGCTGCTGCTGCTGCTGCTGCTGCTCCCGTGGGCTATGGCTTGTGTGGAAGATGATGCTTCTGTTGCTGACGTTGATGCTGCTGCGGCTTCTGAAACCCCCACTGGCGTGGCACCACTTCCCCCTGCTGTGGCACCACTGCCATCACTGCCACTGCCACTCCCTGCCGCAGCCTTATCGATGTCCTCTCCTGTAACACCTCCCACCATCTCCTTCCCTTTTCCCTTCTCCTCTCCTTCCTGCTTTCTCGCAACCTCCAGATTCCCCTCCCCTTCTTCCTCTCCTGACCCTTCCCCAATATCTTTCCCATCCCCTCTCTGCCCTTCCTCCGTGTCCTTTCCTTCCTCTTGCTTCATTCCCTGCTTCTCCTCCTGCTTACCCTCCCACTCCCCCTCTTCCTTCTCCTTCCCCTCACCTGTCTTCCCCTCCCCCTCCTTCCCAACCTTACCCTCCTGCCCAACCTTCGCCTCCTCGCTCACTCTGCCCCCCACAATCGGCTTTCTCCGGTCTTCAGAAGCACTCAGCCAAGCCCGGGCAGTCAAGCAAAAGTTTAGAATGATGGGCAGGGGCGGCACCTGCCCCTCGGCAATGGGGAAAGCGCCAACACGACCGTGGAAGACAGAGGGGTCGTACTGGTAAAGGGGCTCTGAGCACAGGTTGATGATCATGTAGCGACCCTGGGGTGTGAGGGGAGCGAAACAGAAAGGGCATGAGGAGGACAGGGCATGATGGGCAGGAGCGGCACGTGCCCCTCGGGAATGGGGAAAGCCCCCACACGGCCGTGGAAGACAGAGGGGTCGTACTGGTAGAGGGGCTCCGAGCACAGGTTGATGATCATGTAGCGACCCTGGGGGGTGAGGTGAGGGGAATGAGGGAAAACGAGGATTATAAAGTAAAGGAAGCACGGGGCAGGGAAATACGGGCAAGGTAGGAGAATGGGGCAGAGAGACTGAGACAGCAGCGCCTACACCCCCACGCGGGCGTGGAAGACTGACCTGCTCTGAGCACAGGTTAATTAGAGAACTAGATTGGCTGGCTGGTACTAGATTGCCACTAGAGTAAGAGTCACTAGAGTGGGAGTGAGAGTGCGAGCAGACCTTGTGGTATGTCTCGAGGAAGTAAAGCACGTCCGTGACATGGTTGCGGTACAGACCCTGGTCGCAGGGAGGGTGGAATGGGGAGAGAGACGAGACAGAGCGGAGAGAAGGTAGATTAGGTACTGAGGAACATTGGTATGTCTTGAGGGAAGTAAAGCACGTCCGTGACATGGTTGCGATACAGACCCTGGTCGCAGGCAGGAAGGGAAGAACAAGTGTTGGGAGAGAAGGGAGGGAGCGGGGAATTAACGGAGAGTTGGTAGTGAGGGTTCGAGGGAAGTGAAGCACGTCCGTGACATGGTTGCGGTACAGACCCTAGTTGCAGGGAGGAAGGCAGAGAGGCATGTTGGGGGAGACGAAGAGGGAAGAGAGGCGAAGGGAGAGAAGGAAGAAGAGGGAGATTGGGTAGTGATGGACATGGGTACGTCTCGAGGAAGTGACGCACGTGTGTGAACCATGCATTCCTGCACACAGACATGCGTCACTTCCTGCACACAGACATGCGTCACTTCCTGCACACAGACATGCGTCACTTCCTGCACACAGACATGCGTCACTTCCTGCACACAGACATGCGTCACTTCCTGCACACAGACATGCGTCACTTCCTGCACACAGACATGCGTCACTTCCTGCACACAGACATGCGTCACTTCCTGCACACAGACATGCGTCACTTCCTGCACACAGACATGCGTCACTTCCTGCACACAGACATGCGTCACTTCCTGCACACAGACATGCGTCACTTCCTGCACACAGACATGCGTCACTTCCTGCACACAGACATGCGTCACTTCCTGCACACAGACATGCGTCACTTCCTGCACACAGACATGCGTCACTTCCTGCACACAGACATGCGTCACTTCCTGCACACAGACATGCGTCACTTCCTGCACACAGACATGCGTCACTTCCTGCACACAGACATGCGTCACTTCCTGCACACAGACATGCGTCACTTCCTGCACACAGACATGCGTCACTTCCTGCACACAGACATGCGTCACTTCCTGCACACAGACATGCGTCACTTCCTGCACACAGACATGCGTCACTTCCTGCACACAGACATGCGTCACTTCCTGCACACAGACATGCGTCACTTCCTGCACACAGACATGCGTCACTTCCTGCACACAGACATGCGTCACTTCCTGCACACAGACATGCGTCACTTCCTGCACACAGACATGCGTCACTTCCTGCACACAGACATGCGTCACTTCCTGCACACAGACATGCGTCACTTCCTGCATGCATCAAAGGCTAATCGTGCACACGCGTGTCCATCCATCCATCTATCCACCCATCCATCCATCATCACACCACACATAAATACACACCTCCACCGTGCTCGTGACTCCTGAATTCGTGCATGCAACAAACACTTTAGTGCCTCAGAATAATCTAATGCACACATCTATCCATCCATCATCACACCACATAAATACCCACCTCCACCATACTCATGATGCCAGCGTTCGCGTCGCCGCCAGCGGGAAACCCCATGGCAATCACCCCCGCAGTGATGTACGTCATATCCAGGTCAAACCCGCCCTGCTGAAACCGCCTCTTGCCGTGCGACGCCATGTGCTTCGCCTGCGTCTGAATCGCCTTTGCCGCACTCTGCGACCGCTCCACCAGCCCCTTCGTCCTATCCTGAATCACCTTCGAACCGTCCTGTAACACCTTTGTACCACCCGCAATCCCCTTCTTTCCCTCTTCAACCCACTCCATCGTCCCTTCCACTATCTCCTTCCTCCCTTCCTCCACCAACTCCTTAGTCGCCTCCATCAACCCTCTCGTCCCTATCACAAACCCCTTAGTACCTTCACCAACAAGCTCCTTAGTCCCTTCAACCAGGCCCTTAGTCCCATCTAATAAACCCTTCTTACTCTCCTCCACCCACCCCCGTGTGCCTTCCATGAATCCCTTAGTGAAAGAGCCAAGGGCCTGGCTTGCAGTCGCGGCGGCTGCTGCTGCTGCAGCCGCCGCTGCTGCTCCTGCGGCTGCTGCTTGCTCCTGTGCCTGCGCCTGAGCACGTGCTTTCGCCTGTGCCTTAGCCAGCTTCTCAGCCTTTAACTGCGCCTGCCTCTGCGCTTGGGCCTCTGCCTCTGCTTGCTTCTCTGCTTCTGCTTGCTTCGCCGCCTCTTTCTCTGCCTGTGCCATTTGCTCCCCTGTCCCGACCCCTGGGTCATCCTCCTCTGTGGCAATCGCCTTCCCCTTGTCAGCAGAGCTCAGCCTAACGCCTCCTCCTCCTCCCTCTGACCCTGCCTCTTCTCTTATCTCACCAGCAGCATCACCACCAGCACCAGCATCATCACCAGCACCAGCACCAGCACCATCACCATCACCACCACCACCACTCCCACTACCACCCTTGCCCTCCTCCCCATCCTCCTCCTCCTCGCCCACACTACCCAGGGCATCCATAACAGCAGCAAACGCCGCTTCTGTGTCCTCATCCGCGTCCTCTCCTGCAGTCGCCGCCCACTCTAGGATCTCCGCCACCAAGTCATCCCCCCCGTCAACGTCCCCCCCTTCCTCCCCTTTCTCCCCCTCATTCTCCGCCTTCTCAGTTCCCCCCTCCTTCCCAACCGCCCCTTCCTCCTTCTCCTCCTCCTCCTCCTCCTCCACTTCCTTCATTTCTCCAGCTCCCGCCGTCCGCCCCTCCTCCCGTGTGCCTGCCTCTGCCCCTTTCTCTCCTTCTCCCTTCTTTTCTCCTGCTCCCTTTGCACCCTCTCCTGCGTTACTGCCTCCGGCCACCACTGTTGCTGCCACCTTCCCTTCTCCCTTCCCTTCTACCATCCTTTCTGCCTTGCCTTCTCCCTTCCCTCCTCCCGCCCTTTCTCCCTCACCTGCTCCTCCCTGCCTCTCACCCCTCCCACCGCCACCACGACCACCCCTCCCTCGCCCCCTGCCCTGGCCTGCACCACGCCCAGCACCTGCAGCCGGAGCAGCAGGAGCAGCAGAGACCGAGAACGACTGCCATAGCTGCTGCATCCCAGCAGCTGCTGCCGCCGCAGCCTCTGCTGCCGCCTGCCTGCCACTCCCGCTCCCACTCCCACCGCTCGCACTACCACTGCTACTCCCTCCAGGCGCGCCTGTGCCCTTCTCAGAGAGGGACGTGAAGAACGACCCCAGGGCAGCGCGCGCGTTCTCCTGCAGCTTCTCCGCGCTCTTGAGCACCTCCTTGGCGGACTCGCGCACTGCTGCGCCGTCCACTGTCGCTCCCCCCCCCACCAGCCCGCCCAGCCCTGCCCCCCCTGATGCGCTGCGGACCACTGGTCCGTCTGACCCAGTTGTGGCGCCAGGCGTGCTTCCTGCCCCACTTACGCCTCCTTTTCTCCCTTCTCTTCCTCCTCCTTCCGCCGCTCCTCCTGTTTCTCCTCCCGCCGCTCCTCCTGCCGTTCCTCGTCCTGTTCCTGCTGCCCCACCCCCACTACCTGGGACAGACTGACCACCTCCCCCACCTCCACCTGTTCTCCCTGTCGCAGGGCTTGGCGAAGACTCAGGCGAAGGGCTGGCGAGCGACGAGCGAAGCGACTGCAGGCCCTTGGAGAAGAGCGAGCAACCGGGTAACGCTTGCGCCTGTTCCAGTAGCGAGGGCGGCGGAGCAGATGCCTCGGCGGTGTACCGCCTTGCTGCGTCAGAACCTGGCTTAGCGGACCTGCCGCCGCTTCTGCCGCTGCTGCTGGTCGTCCTAGTAGCTTCCCTACCTCTCCCCCTTCCCTCGCTTCCCCCTCGGCCGCTTCCCCCTCCGCGCACTTCGCTTCCCTGCGCTTCACCATTTCCGCCATTCCTTCCGCCAGCAGTTGCGCCGTCCTCCCGACTCTCCGCAACGCCTTCGCTGCGGCGAGCAGGGCCGGACGACGTGACAGGATCGCTGTCGGACCCAACCGACGGTGCCAGGTCAGAAGGCGCTGGCTGAACGTCGGAACCAGCAGTAATGGGACCGCTTGCGTCTCCTGCTGACGAGGATACGGGCGTGTCTGACGTCACTGGTGTACCGTCTGGTGCAGCCGGCGATTGGTCAGACTGTACCGTGGTGGCGGATGCGAGTGCAGAGCCCGTTACAGGCTCCGCATGCGCTGGTGCAGACGCATCTGGTGCAGGCGTATCTGGTGCAGGCGTATCTGGTGCAGGCGTATCTGAAGAAGCCGAGTCTGGTGCAGGTGTCGCCTGTACCGGAGTTGTTGCATCTGTTGGTGGGGTATCCGTCGCAGAAGGTTCGTGCGACGATTCCGCAGCTGACGAATCCATGGCTCCAGATCAGTCCAAAACCGACTTTTTCAAGAGAGATCCTACAGTTCGAGCGAAAAAATTACCACCTAACAAAAGGCAGGAAACTGAGAGAGGGTGATAACTCAGTGGGCTCTTCAATGTGCGGGTAAAATGCTACGCTTCGCGCGAAATTCCGCTTATCTCCAAAAAAAGAAAGAGTGAACAAGTAACTGGACACGTCAATGTGTCTTCCAACTGAGCTTCAGAAAAAACTATGTCTGAATGGATGATTATTCAATTCCTTCCTTTAGTGTGCTACCTATAGTCTCTCTCTCTCTTGGCCTTCTGCTGATGTCAGTGGTGTGAACCAAATTTCAATGTCCACGCTGGGAGATCCCAAGGTCAGGGGAAAGGGAAGAAAACGAATTCTCGCGTCTGGAAGTGGCGAACGTCTACGATGTTTTTCGAGCCCTGGTAACAGGGCGATCGCATCTAGAAGGTTGGTGTCAGCAGATCGGTTTGTGCCCTATTCGTGCTTCGTTACCGATGCTGTACAGTGTTTTCGATTCTGAAGTTTATACATAACAACTAGGGATAATCAACCGTGCCTGTCTCAAAACCGAGGAGCTTGAGACTCTTCAATGCATTCCGCACAGGGCGATTATTCTCGTTCCGTAGAACACCGCGGTCCGCGAACCGTCGTGAGCCCTTATCAGCTTAGTCGCCACGAAGTGCCACGACTGGCGATCAATGTTAAGTTGCTAGCCTGTAGTCTCGCTAATTTGCGAGAAGAAATCAAACACAATTGCGCCAATCAACTCGCGAGAAGAAGAATGGCGCTGGTGCTGATTTGCGGCCAGCCGTGCAGCGGCAAGTCCACAGTAGCGAGGCAGCTTGTAGCGGCTCTCGAGGCTGCTATTAACGAGCAGCAGAATAGCACTCCCGGCGATAGAAGATTAAGTGTGGTCCTCCTAGGCGAGGAGCAGCTTCACATAGGCCGAGACGACGGGTACCAAAGTAAGTCCATGGGATTTCCAGAGTGTACTGTAACTGGCACACGAGTTACAAGTTGTTACTCATTCGCTGTGTTACACCGGTCAACCATCGTTGAATTCTCAGTCATTCTCCGGCCAATTCCCGGTCGACCGTGCAGATATGGTGGCTGAGAAGAATCTGCGAGGATCTCTGCGTTCTGAAGTGGATCGCGCGGTCGGCAAGGATCGAATCGTGATCGTTGATTCGCTGAACGCCATCAAGGGCTACCGATACGAGCTGTGGTGCCTGGCTCGTGCTGCTGCCACCAAATACTGCGTGGTGAGTGTGAATGGTGAGTGTGAATGGTGAGTGTGAGCTGCGGGTTGTTCAGCGGTGAGTCTGCCTGGAGAGTCTGTGTATGTATACCCTGCCTCTGCATCCCTCTACATCTCTTTGCATCCCCCTTCTCCTCCCCCCTCCCCTTCCACGTCTCTCCCACCCCGTCTGCATGCTTTCCGCCAGGTGCATTGCGACGTGGCGGCAGAGACAGCAAGGGAGTGGAATGACAGGCGCGAAGAGGTTTATTTTTTAGGCGCCTCAGAGATACCTTCCCCCCTCCCTCCCCCCGCCCTCCCCCCTCCCCTCCCTCTTCACTCCATTCCGCCAGGTGCATTGTGACGTGGCGGCAGAGACGGCAAGGGAGTGGAATGACAGGCGCAGAGAGGGAGGGGAACCCTGCTACGCTCCCCACGTGTGAGTGCGAGATGAGTTTGTTTGGGAAAGTTCTGAGAATCAAGAGAAGCAGGGCTACTCTCCTCAAGTGTGAGTGCGAGATGAGTATGTATTGGGGAATATTTCACAAGCGTATGTAAGGGAAACGTAAGAGCGCTCTGCTAATTTCCCTTACAGGACCTAGCGTTTTCGTTTCCCCTCCCCCTCCCAGCTCCCTCTGATCCTCCTCCCCCCACATTTCCTTTTCCACCCACTCTTGCCTCTTCCCCCACTCCATCTCTCTCCCCTCCTCCCCCACTCCATGTATCTCCCCTCCCCCACTCCATACCTCTCCCCTCTTCCATGCCATCCCTCTCCCCTCCTCACCATTCCATCTCTCTGCCTGCCATTCAGCTTGGAGGATCTGCTGGGTCGATTTGAGAGGCCGGTGGGCCGCAATCGCTGGGACTCGCCCCTCTTTGAACTTCATACTGCCACCGGTACGTGATGTGCAGTGCAGTGCAGTGCAGTGCATGTGATGGTATGTGGTGCAACCAGCAGTATCTGAAGCAACCAGCGGTGTGATGCAACCAGGGTATGCGATGCAGTGCATTTGGCAGTAACCAGATGTGGTTAGAGTGTTAAATGGGTTGTGAGACTGCTGATTGACGCTGGCAAGCAGAGCCTGTCGGTGTGTTTGTCCTCGCAAGTTCCTCGCAAACACTGCTCTTCATGCTCCTAATCCCCCATTGCCAGAGCAAGCAGCAGAGGAGGCAGAGCGGGTTATAGGCGAGGTGGTGGCACTGCTGGTGGGAGGAAGCGGAGCAGCGAACGGACAGGGGCGAGCAGGCAGGGCTCTGCAACCTACTGTTGCCACTCAAACAGTGAGTCCTGACATTTGGCGCAAAAGTCACAGTGAGTCTCACTGTTTTGTCATAGATTGCATGCACATTTTTCACTCGACTGTATATTCTCAAGTGCGCTAGCCACTTATTGCACTGCAGCCTTAGCTCTGAATGCACTAAATTTAGCAATTTTGATGCTCTGATAAACATCCTCCCTTTTTTTGGATGGTGCAGGCTACAGCGTCAGATGCCAATGTGCTGTATGAGATGGACCGGGCCACAAAGGTATGGGACAGGGTGAGGGTTCAGGCGGACTGAGGCAGTGCTGTGTGTTGTAGACCATACCTGCTGGGCTGAGCAGTATGCTGATCCCTACCTACACCTTCAGACGCCTATGTGCTCTATGAGATGGACCGGGCCACAATGGTACGGGAAAGGCCGAGGGTTCACCTGGACTGAGGCAGTGGCGTTTGTTGTAGACCATGCCTGCTGGGCTGGGGAGTATGCTGGTAGTTTCATGGCTTGACATTGCCCTTTGTGAAACTCTTCCCCCCTCACCTCCTCCCCTCCCCTCCCTCCCTTTTCTGAGGCACATACCCGCACACATGCACGCACACACACCTCTTATACACTGATCGTTCTCTTCGCCTCTGTCTTTTTTCTTTACCCAGGAGGTGATATCCGCCGTGATGGATGCTCAGGCATCGCTAGGAGGCGCCTCATCACCATTCACAGTAGATTTGGGACCAAGTAACAACATAGTATTACGGCGGCCCGTTGGCCTTCCGGAATTGCAACGGTTACGTAGGACATTTGTTCGCCTGGCTGGGCAAGCTGCTTTGTCTGGGAATGCACCTCCCAAGGATGCAGAGTCGGCAAAAAGATTCTTTGCTGAGTACATTGTTCGAGAGGTTACATGAAACCCCATTAAGTGTGTAATGTGGTATTTCCTGAGTTGATGTCTTTGCTAATGCCTAGCTGTATGCCTCTCTTTGTCGCGATTCTGCTAAAATACCTATGGTTGAGCTTGTGTGTAACTCCACAATTAGATTTCCATGTATAGTCTGGTTGCTAGAAACACTATGTGGTTACAAGCAATGTATGTTAGGAAATGAGGATTGATTCAAATTATCATGTTGTGTATTCAAAGATAGTGTGACTGATTTGTTTGGGTGGCTTTCCACCACCGCCCTCGAGCTCCAAACCCTTGGCATCCTCGCCAACCCTCCCTCATCGTACTCTGTTACCCTTCGCAAGGTCTCCGCCAAACACGTATCCTTCGCCACGGAATCTCGCTACCCCAAAATGCCCGCGTTTCGCTCCCCACCACAACCTTTCTGGGGAAACTCCCCCAACCATTTCCCTCGCTTGCGCTTCCCTCCCCTCCCTCCCCTCACAGTCTCCCTTCCCTCCTCTCTGCCTCTCCCCTCCTATCCTTCCCCATTCGTCACCTCTCTCCCTCCCCTGCCCTGCTCCCTCCGCCATTGACCTATTCTCGGTATTTTGGCTCTCTTCTTTTCTCCTCTACCTCCTTTTCCGCCCTTGAGCCAGAATCTTCCCTGGCCCCATAGGCCTGCGTGGTGCCGCGCATTCTCCTCCGCACCATAGACGAGCGTCGTTTCTTTTCCAAGTTCTTAGTTTAATCGCATAAAAAAAAGGGCAGGATGGTGGCTGCAGGAACAACCGTGAAGGACGTGTCGCCGCATGCCTTCGTCAAGGCGTATGCGGCTCACTTGAAGCGCACAGGCAAGGTGATCACTGTGACAATAACGAGGGCGCTCGGGAGTAGCTGTGGTCATGCCCAGGGGCATACTAGACATCCCTTGTAATTCTCCGAAGCAGAGCAGCGCTGGCGGGAATGGGAAGGAATCCGAATACTGGACTTCGTATTACGATAGTAGCTGTTAGTTAAGGCGCAGGTCCGACAAAACCATGTAGCTCGTGACGTTGCAGGTCAGCGAGGAGCTGTAGGTTACGCTTAGGTTTCCATCACGTTAGGGACAGAGGATCCGTTGTGAAAGGAAGTTTCAACGGACCTAGTGCTGAGTCGATTCACAAGCGAAGACCTAGCTCTGGGGGGGGAGTGCCAGCCAGCTTGCTGATGTGCTTGGGTCCGTTACCCAGTAAAGTAGTCCTTGCGTTCATTCGTTCACGGCATCGTTTGGAAAGGGGTGTGCGCCGTCTCTGATGCACAATCACACGTTGAAGCGATCAGAAGGATGAAGCTGACTCAGCAGGACGGATCGTCGAAGCTGTTGATGCCAACAGTGTTAGGGTTTCGCATCTCTGAGCTCGTCGTTTTGGAATGACGGCGTGTGCCGATACGGGCTATTAGAATTGCGTGTGATCGGTACGGGTTAAAGGCGCTAGACGAATTGTACAGGTTCAATACGTGCTTGTTCGTGCGCGTCCTTTTTCTGCAGCTCGTGGGCATTCGATAGCAGGAACAAGTTACGCAGATAGCAGCACGTTTCTCGATAGCACACGTTTGCAGAATGCCACTCTTTGCACGGTTTCCTCCCTCTCCTCGTTCTCTTTCTTCTCAGTGCCGCAGTGCGTCCTTTTCACTGTACCCCGCACATTTGCTCTTCCCGTCATCTGTTTCCCCCTCCCCCCTTGTCTGGTTTTAACTCCTCATTTCCCTATTTCCGTCATTCATCCGCATTAGGGCTCCGTCTTTCCTCTCGCTTCTTTTTTTCCAAACCCGTTCGTGCTCGTTTCCCCTCCCCCAGTCACCCTCTCTTCCCACTCCTCCCTCCTGCGCTTGCTTGACCGCATCAGGTGGAGGTTCCCACATGGGCTGACATCGCTTCAGTTTTTTTCAACCTCGTTCTTACTCATTTCCTCACCCCCACCCTCCCGCCTCTTCCTTTTCCCCTTCCCTCTCTTGCGTGACCGCAACAGGTGGAGGTTCCCACATGGGCTGACATCGTCAAGACAGGAACCTACAAGGAACTTGCGCCCTATGATCCCGATTGGTACTACATCCGCGCTGGTACGTATCGCCTCTGAATGCATCGTGCACTGGAAACGTTTTTTAGGCGCCTCAGGAAGTAGTTTTAAGATTATGCCTCTGAAGGCATCTTTCATTGAGAGCAACAACAGGCATAACGAAATACTGTTGCATTTCCACATTCTCACTCGCTCCCACTCTCATTCGCCCGCATTCCTCTCTCACGTCTTGTATAAGGCTTTCTCCAGTGGGGTCGTGGCTCCTTCAATACCTTTTTCGTGGCTCGTGGGTCACGAGTGGTTCTTGATCGTGCCGTAGCTGGAGGGTGACCAGCCTGTTAACGTTGATGGACAGCCAATTTTATCACGAAGCTTGAGTTGGCCAGTTTTATCACGAAGCTGGTGTTGGCGCTGGAACAACACAACCCCCTTCTTGGCAATCACCTGTGGAATCTCAAACCTTGCGTCCTTTCTCTAATGTTTTCCTGCCGCGTGTCCCTCCTGTAGCCTCCATGGCTCGCAAGGTGTACCTGAAGCCTGGCGTTGGAGTCGGTGCCTTCAAGAAGATCTACGGTACGTATTTGGCGAGGAAAAAAATGTTTTTCTTCTATGCTTCTTCGCCTCCCGCTCCTCCCCTTTTTCACCCCCCCCACTCTCGCGCTCTGTGTTATCCTTGTTTAAGCGCAGAGTGCTTGCAGCACTTGCAGCTGCGCTTGTTCAAGCGCTCGTCTCGCACTCTGCGTTCATATCGTCTGGGGCTGCGGTTTCTCCGGTCCTCTCTTCTTCCACTTTGTCAGGGCCCTCCACCCCTCCCTTTCCCTCCTCTTTTTCCTCTGCAATCTGTTCCTGCTGCCATATCCCCTCTATCCCTTTCTCATATCCTCCCCCCATATCCCCCTTCCTTATCCTCCTAACATACCCATTCATATACCCCCCTCCCGTATCCCCCTAACATGTCCTTCTACTATTCTCCCCGTCCCCCCTTCCCCCTCCCCCCTCTCCCTTCCCACGCGGGCCGAAGAACGTGTAGCGGCCGTTGCGCTTCTGCACGAGAAGCGGGTCCGTGGCCCGACACGAGTTTAGAGAACCCTCAAAACATATCCCCCTCCTATCCCCCTCTCCTTCCAATTCCCCACTCCCCCTCGCCCTCCCCCCTCCCCCCCATTCCCCTCCCAGGCGGGCCGAAGAACAACGGGTCGCGGCCGTCGCACTTCTGCAGGAGCAGCGGGTCCATCGCCCGGCACGTGCTGCAGCAGCTCGAGTCCATCGGCATCGTCGAGCAGGACACCAACGGGTGAGTGGGTGTGAGCGAGGGGGTGGGAGAGCTCAGGACGGTACTGTGTGGTGGGTGTCATGCGGAGATAAGTGGAAGGTGCTCAACACGTGCTGCAGCAGCTGGAGTCCGTCGGGAGAACAGTAGGCCAACGGGTGATTGAGTGTGTGTGAGGGGGTCAAAGAGAGAACAGGGTGGTGGCCGTGTGTGATGGGGTGCTATGTACGGAGTGCCATTGGTGGCGTCATCCTGTGGTGACTGTGAATGACTCAGCTGTCGCTTCAAAGGGCATAGCATGAGCTGCAGCAGCTGGAGTCAGTTGGCGCTGCAGAGCAGGACGCCAATGGTGAGTGGGCGTGTTTGCGACAAGCTTTCATGCTGCAGGCTTAATGATGGGGAGCTCTCAGCCTTTTCTGAGCAGGACTTACTGGACGGAAATGAGGATCTGATAGGCCAAGGCGAGGGTGCTTTGTTCTCAGTGTTGCTGTGTCCGAGAAGAAAACAGAGCTAAATTGTCTTCATTTTCTTGTGCACGCGTAATTTTTATTTGCAGTGGGCGTCGCATCACCTCCGACGGGCAGCGTGATCTTGACCGCATTGCTGGACGGGCTGCTGCTGCCGCTGTGGAAGGTGCTGAGGAGGAAGAGTAAACTGTTGGCTTTCCTGCCATGCACAAGCCTGCTGTGTTAAGAATTCGTAGCACAATGTAGAGCGCCCACGAAATGTCAAGCTTCTTGTGCTTTGAAATGTGATAATGAATCAACAGTCTCACCCTGCATTTGAAGCTGCATTTCCTTGGTTTTATTTCACAAACAACCCAGATTCCCTAAATGTATTAGTTACCTGCACCTTCGTTCTAAGCGGGCGCTACGATTTTCACCACTGTAAAAGCCTTCCGCACCGAATGCCCACGTGGTGCCACCGAGAATGCCGAGCTGAACCGAGAACTGACCAAACCAACAATTCCACATTCACTGGCTCTGCTGAAATACGAACAGCAGCGGCAGCGACAGACTAGACTAGTCCAGTACTGAATCACTGCAGAAACAGCTATCTAACTTCACTTGAGCCTAGGTTACTCCAGGATACTAGGCTATATTTGACCTGAAGCCTCCTATTCGGAACAGGGTTCCTGTTTTTAAACTGCTTCTTATTTGATATTTTCTAGCATCCGACAAGATGCAGGGCGCCGAGGTTTCGAAGCAGGTGCAGCAGATGGTGGAGTTTATCCGTCAAGAGGCCGAGGAGAAGGCTAATGAGATTGCTGTTGCTGCGGAAGAGGTATAGCATAAAGCTCGGATAGTTACTAGCTATCTTATTCGTCGCGCCACGCTCCAGATCCGAAGTTGGAGCCGTTCTCGCGACAGAATGACATCGCTGGATCCCTAATGCAGTCGCGTTTTTTTATTTCGTTCAGGAGTTTAACATTGAAAAGCTGCAGCTCGTAGAGGCGGAGAAGAGAAAGATCCGTCAAGAATATGAGCGCAAGGAGAAGCAAGTCGAGATCGCGAAGAAAATGTAAGCTCGTTTTACATCTATGATCCATCCAGTTCTGGCTTGTTCAAGCTCCGCATTTCACCCAAATTTCACATTAAGATAAGAGACAATGACGGTATTTTTCCCTTTTTGCTGAAACAGCGACTATTCCAAGCAGCTGAATGCATCTCGACTGAAAGTGCTGCAAGCTCAGGACTCCATTGTGAAAGAGATGAAGGCCGCAGCAGAGAAAGAGCTCCTGAAAGTCTCTAGTGACACCAAGAAATACACTGAACTGTTGAAGGACGTGATTGCTCAGGTGAGACTCTTTTAATCTAACGTTTCTCCTCGAATCGAAACACCCGTACGTTCTTCATATGGTGATCCCTTGGGGAGCATTTTTTTCCGAGTCTCATGATAGAAGCCTGATTTATTGTCTCCATCGTTCCTTTATATTTCAGGGACTTGTACGCCTGAACGAGTCCGCAGTGCAGCTTAGATGCCGTGAAGCTGATGCTGCTGCTGTGAAAGCTGCTTTGCCCGGAGCGATCCAGGAGTATGTAACTGTTACCAAACAAACAGCGCCAACTGTGGATGTGGATAGTGTCAAGTTTCTGCCTGCTGCACCTCACTGGTATGCCACATGCCAGCTATGTTTTTACAAATATCTCTGATTATGCCATGCTTATACCTTCGTGATGAAGGTTCATGCAATGTGCGCATTGAAGTTGTGACCAATCTATGGCTCCAATATGTCATTTCATGAGCAGTGCTGGAGGTGTTGTGATGGCTTCCAAGGATGGTCGGGTGGTCTGCTCCAACACGCTCGATGCTCGCCTTGAGATTGCATTCAAGCAAAACCTTCCTGCTGTGAGTCTTTTTCCTGAAACACTCTGGCAATTTGCTTTTACATGCTGTTTGTTGCCGTTTGTCTTCATGTTGGACTTGTCCTTGGTATGAATCTCTAGTTTGTCTGGTATTCATGTTTTCTTGCCCAAATTCCCCTCTGCATGCAACTCAGATCCGTGCGTCCATGTTCAAGACAAGTGTGGTCTCCTAGGCTCGTTTGGAATGAAGGACATCTGCAAGTGAATTAGACATTCAGGGCACTATCGTATTCAACTTCATGGCTCTCTTGCTGGGAGGCGATACTATGAACTAGTGTATGTAGACAGCAGCAGTACCATAGAGTTTGGGTTGGGAGACATCGTGATTTACCAAAATTCCAGATCAGGCTTTGTACTAATGATGTAGATGAAATCTTCTTAAATACCTATATATACTGGTATCTGTCATGGTGCTCTTTCCAGACATGACCTCACGTCTTGTCTGGGGGCTAGCCCACATTCCATTGTTTTTCATTTCAGAATTGGATAAAAATGAAACAATTGCTTCACTCTTAAAACATGTCCAAAAAGTACCTTCCCTCCGATACCCCCTTCAACCCATCGCGAGCCCGATCCCTGGACCCGTCTGTTTCTTCATGTACTCATCCGACAGCCGAGCTTCATTCATCAACTTCTGCTCGTGCTCTATCTGCTCTCCTGCCCTTACCAGCTCCTCTAGGGTTTGCTGGAGAGTGGGACAAGTGGGGGCAAGGGAGTGCGGGATGATAGGAGAGGAGGGAATGGAGGACCGGGAGAAACATTTAGGGTAAGCCAATGTCAGCAAGGAAGGAGAAATAGGAAGCTGATGGAAAGAGGGAATCGCATTAAAAAGCTTTTGTGATTAATATGCACTAGATTGGAAGCATGGTGGTGGTGGGAGCAGCGTACCGCAGGCGGGTCGACGGAGGGTCTGGTGTCCTTGCCATCGCTGCCATCATCCCATCTCCTCGGCTTGATCAGCAGCTTTCCCACCTTGGATGGCCCTCCGTTGGCCTCCACCCACTGGGAAGGTAGGGGAAGTGTGGGTAGAGGGAGGGTAGAGGAATAGGGTTTATGGTTGGTGGAGGAAAGGATTTTGAGTCGACTTAATAAGGCTTCCTTGCCTGGGATGGCCTACTGTTGGCTTCCACCCAGTGGGAAGGAAGGGGGAAAGGGTGGGTAGAGGACAGGTGAGTGGCGAACAGTGTGCGAGCTCAGCGTACAGTAACAATGTATATAGTCACACTAGCTCAAGTTCGGATGCAGAGTACACATGGATCTCAAATGCGGACATGAATTTCGCTTTGTTACACCGTCAGCATCAACACACACACACACACACACACACACACACACACACACACACCTACATACCTCGAGCACTTTCTCATCGTATGTGCGCGCACGAAGGGCACCATAGAAGTCCAACGCTGCTCTCAGAGCAGGGGGAACAGCAGGGAGGAAACCACCGAGGGGGGTTGGAGGGAGCAGTGGGGGGTGAGGGAGGACGGAGTGTGGAGGGAGGAGGGAGTAGGTCAGAGTGAGAATGGAGGAGGGAGGAGGGACGCAAGTTTGCTGCATTACCTGGGACATGAGTCTCAGGTGATGCTAAGGCAGGGGGGTAGAGGGATCATCCCTCGTTTCCTTGATGTGCAAGGAGGAAACGAGGTGCAAAGTGGGCCAGCGTTTGGGACACTGAGTGCAATCAGAAGGAGCACTGAGGGAAAGAAGATGGAACAGGGTGGGCGCTGAATTAGCGAGAGGTAAATAGAGTGCGGAATAAAAGCAAGAAAGTTGAGCATACGTTGGTTTGGAAACCTGTCGACGAGCCTCTCGATATCTTGAAGTGATAATCCGTCTTTAATGTACATTCGGTACACTATATTCACTATATCCTCCTTCGTGGGCTGCCTGTAACGGATCCGGACAGAGGTCGGGAAGGATGGAAGGAAGGAGGGGATGGGGGAAGGGCGGAGCAAGGGGGGAAGAGGGGGGAGAGAGGAGCGGGTAGTTAGTGACACGACATGAAAGGGTAATTAGTGACACGAGATGCGAGGGTAGTTATTCACAGGAGAGCAGTTAGAGCCAAGGTGGATGGAGGAGGTAATGCAGTCAGATCGCCTACAGAATACTTAGTAGTACCTAAAACTCTGACAGGGGTATGGGGGAGTGCTGAACTGGTCTTGCTTGCCTGCATGTACCAACCAAGCACTGTACCGCACCATACCATACCACACCATACCACACCATACCACATCTCAGCTCACCAGTAGAACTTCTCCATGCGTCCATCACGAATCAGCGGCGCCTCGTTCCCAGTCACGATGACGGGCACACAGCGTGACACCGCCCAGTACCGCACTGTAGGACACCATAACAGACTGCACCACTCCGAGCCGTGCTGCACCGCATCTCAGCTCACCAGTAAAACTTCTCCGTGCGTCCATCACGAATCAACGGGGCCTAGAGCGTGCGAAAATCATTTCCAGTGACGATGATCGGCACTCGGTTCAGCAGGTCCCCCTCTACCCCACCGTACCTCACCGCACCGTACGACACCCAACCTCACCAGTAAAACTTCTCCATGCGTCCATCACGAATCAACGGCGCCCAGAGCGTACTGAAGTCATTTCCAGTCACGATGATCGGCACGCGGTTCAGCAGGTCCCCCTCGCGCCAGTCCTGCCCCACACTGGCCCGCGTGGGGTCGTCACAGAGACTCATGAGCGTGCCCACCACCATCTGATTGTTCACCGTCGTCTGTGTGTGCGCTGTTTGTGGGTTGCAGGGGAATAGGAGAGACAGGGGGGGGCAGGAAGAAGGGGTTGCAGTGGGTTTAGCAGGTCTCCCTCACGCTGGCCCGCGTGGGGTCGTCACACAGACTCATGAGCGTGCCCACCACCATCTGATTGCTCACCGTCGTCTGTGTGTGCACTGTAGGGTTGGGGGATATGGTGGGGCGGAAACAGGGCACCATCGGTTCAGCAGGTCCCCCTCGCGCCAGTCCTTCCCCAGGCTCATGAGCGTGCCCTCCACCACCATCTGATTGCTCACCGTCGTCTGTGTGTGCGCTGTAGAGTTGGGGTATGGTGGGGAGGTATGGTGGGGCGGAAACAGGTCAGCATGGGTTCAGCAGGTCGCCTTCGCGCCAGTCCTGACTCCTGCCCACACTGGCCCGCATGGGGTCGTCACACAGACTCATGAGCGTTCCCACCACCGGATTGTTCACCGTCGTTTGGGTGTGCGCTGGTTGTGGGGTATACCATATCGTTGTGGGAGCACGAGGAAAGGGAGAGGGGGGAACGAGGGGAGAGGTGGGGGAGGGAGGTGGAGCAGCGGTGTGGGTAATAAGGTACTGGGGTGGGGGTATGAAGCATCAGTTTCGAATGCATGGTGCACCATGTGCCATGGAATGAGAGCAAGCAGCTCACCGAATCGGCCAATCCCGGCATCGAGGTCGTTGATCATCAAAGCACTCATTTTGCCCTGCACATGCATAAAAAAAAAAAAAAAAAAAAAAAAAAAAAAAAAAAAAAACAGAAGGCAAACACACACACACACACACACACACACACACACACACACACACACACACACACACACACACACACACACAAAGAAATCAAATAACAAAGAAAAGGAAACAAATGACAAAGAAAAGGAAACAAACCACCCCTGGACGGCAACTTAGCTTACATGAATCCATTTAGCGTAAAATCACATGTGTATTTAGTCTACTCAAGATCTAGGTCTTTTAATCCATAAAAAAAAAAAAAAAAAAAAAAAAAAAAAAAAAAAAAAAACAACCCTTATTGTTGATGACGAGATGTGCATCGCGGTAGCAGAGTTCTGATACACCTTAAAGCCCACCTTATTGCTGATGGATAGCCATACCCTATTGTTGATGACGAGATGTGCATCGCGGTAGCAGCGTTCTGATACACCTTAAAGCCCACCTTATTGTTGATGGATGGCCATACCCTATTGTTGATGACGATATGTGCGTCGCGGTAGCAGAGTTCTGATACACCTTAAAGCCCACCTTATTGTTGATGGATGGCCATACCCTATTGCTGATGACGAGATCTGCGCCGCGGTAGCAGCGTTCTGATACACCTTAAAGCCCACCTTATTGTTGATGGATGGCCATACCCTATTGTAGATGACGAGATGTGCGTCGCGGTAGCAGGGTTCTGATACACCTTTGAAGCCCACCTTATTGTTGATGGATGGCCATACCCTATTGTTGATGACGAGATGTGCGTCGCGGTAGCGGCTGCGAATGAGCCTCCCAGGTTCGCCAGCCCACTCGCTTTCCATCTCTCCAGCTGACAGAATGATCGGCTCCAACCCCAGCGCCTTGAATATCAGCTCCACTTGAAACGTCTTCCCCTGCCCTTTCCCACCCCATATGCCTGCAGGTGAAGGGTGAAGGGGGGCAAGAGAGCAAAACAGACAGAATGAGCCTCCCAGGTTCGCCAGCCCACTCGCTCTCCATCTCTCCAGCCGAAAGAATGATTGGCTCCAACCCCAGCGCCTTGAATATCAGCTCCACTTGAAACGTCTTTCCCTGCCCTTTGCCACCCCAAATGCCTGCAAGAAAATTTGTGGGGGTGCAAGATAACAAACAGACAGAATGATTGCCTCGAATTCAACCCCAGCAGGTCATATGCGCCTTAAGGATAAAGAATCTGAGGTAGATGATCCTTAAGGATGCGCCTTAAGGATCAAGAATCCAGTCTGTTCTTACTGAGTTGGTTGGGACGTACCGAGGATGAGTGGGATCCTGCAGCTGAGCTGGGAAGCGAGGTAGTTCTTTGCAATGAATGTGACTGTAACGGGAAGAATGGGGGGAGAGAAAAAGACGGGGAGGAGGGGAGGCACACAGCAAGAGGGGGAGGCGAACGGGAATCTGTGGCTGCTATTTGTCCGCCTGCGAACAGTTGAAATTCTGTACAGATGCAGAGATGCACAGAATCTCTGTTGAAATTCTTTCTTGAGTTGAAGGCAGATTATTGAGAGGGAAATATGGAACTCACCGACTTTGTCCTTTTGTGGCCGAAGGATGAGACGAGGCACATCGAGGATGGGGATCAGACGAAACACAGAAAACATCAGATGGGCAGGATACAGGAAGCATGAAGGTGTGGCATCGAACAAGTAGGCTATTTTGCAAGTTATTAAATTGGTTCTTAAAATCAGCATGCTTAAAATCTTAGAATTGCCGGAAAATGTGAAAAAATGCAGTGGTGAAAAAACAGCAACAGCAGGCTACCCGGAAGGTGGGGCCGATCTGACTTCTGAGTCGACTCAAAAATCAACTTAGCCTACGAGGAAGGTGGAGCAATGTAGTCGTCCCCTTGAATGTGCTCTAAAGGGTTTTTTACCACAATTTCTCAATAATGGCCCACCAGGAAGGTAGGAGCGATGTAGTAGTCCCCCTGAATGTGCTCAAACGACCGTGTCACGCTCTGGCGATACTTGAACACTATGTCCGCTGGTGGGGTGGAGAGAGGGGTAGGGATGGGTGGGAGGTGGGGGGACGGGGGGGGGGGGGGGAAGAGAGGGGACGGAGGGTGACACAGTCCCCCTGGATGTGCTCAAACGACCGTGTCACACTCTGGCGGTACTTGAACACTATGTCCGCTGGTGAGGGGGGGGAAGGGTGGGTGGAAGGAAGGGCAGGGGGGGTAAGAATGGGAGGGGGGACGGGGGATATAGGGAGTGGGGGAAAAGGGTGGGGAGCATGGGAGGGGGGACGGGGGAAATAGGGAGTGGGGGAAAAGGGTGGGGAGAATGGGATGGGAGGGGGGGAGGGGGAGACAGGGAGACAGGGAGTGAGCAAAGGATAGATCATTAAGTGGCTGAGACAGAACAAGTGCCCTCATACCCATTTTCCCATCCCACCTCCCTCCCCCTCACTTTTCCCCTCCGTTCCCCCTCCCCCTCCCCCTTTCAGTTCACCAGGTTCACCGCCACTTTCATCCCTGCGATCACCTCCTCCCCCCACCTCCGCGCTCACCGTCGTTGCCCACTCACCGTCCTTCCCCACTCACCGTCCTTCCCCACTCACCGTCGTTGCCCACTCACCGTCCTTCCCCACTCACCGTCCTTCCCCACTCACCGTCCTTCCCCACTCACCGTCGTTGCCCACTCACCGTCCTTCCCCACTCACCGTCCTTCCCCACTCACCGTCCTTCCCCACTCACCGTCCTTCCCCACTCACCGTCCTTCCCCACTCACCGTCCTTCCCCACTCACCGTCCTTCCCCACTCACCGTCCTTCCCCACTCACCGTCGTTGCCCACTCACCGTCCTTCCCCACTCACCGTCCTTCCCCACTCACCGTCCTTCCCCACTCACCGTCCTTCCCCACTCACCGTCCTTCCCCACTCACCGTCCTTCCCCACTCACCGTCCTTCCCCACTCACCGTCCTTCCCCACTCACCGTCGTTGCCCACTCACCGTCCTTGCCCACTCACCGTCCTTCCCCACTCACCGTCCTTCCCCACTCACCGTCCTTCCCCACTCACCGTCCTTCCCCACTCACCGTCCTTCCCCACTCACCGTCCTTCCCCACTCACCGTCCTTCCCCACTCACCGTCCTTCCCCACTCACCGTCCTTCCCCACTCACCGTCCTTCCCCACTCACCGTCCTTCCCCACTCACCGTCCTTCCCCACTCACCGTCCTTCCCCACTCACCGTCCTTCCCCACTCACCGTCCTTCCCCACTCACCGTCCTTCCCCACTCACCGTCGTTGCCCACTCACCGTCCTTCCCCACTCACCGTCCTTCCCCACTCACCGTCCTTCCCCACTCACCGTCCTTCCCCACTCACCGTCCTTCCCCACTCACCGTCGTTGCCCACTCACCGTCCTTCCCCACTCACCGTCGTTGCCCACTCACCGTCCTTGCCCACTCACCGTCCTTCCCCACTCACCGTCCTTCCCCACTCACCGTCGTTCCCCACTCACCGTCCTTCCCCACTCACCGTCCTTCCCCACTCACCGTCCTTCCCCACTCACCGTCCTTCCCCACTCACCGTCCTTCCCCACTCACCGTCCTTCCCCACTCACCGTCCTTCCCCACTCACCGTCCTTCCCCACTCACCGTCCTTCCCCACTCACCGTCCTTCCCCACTCACCGTCCTTCCCCACTCACCGTCCTTCCCCACTCACCGTCCTTCCCCACTCACCGTCCTTCCCCACTCACCGTCCTTCCCCACTCACCGTCCTTCCCCACTCACCGTCCTTCCCCACTCACCGTCCTTCCCCACTCACCGTCCTTCCCCACTCACCGTCCTTCCCCACTCACCGTCCTTCCCCACTCACCGTCCTTCCCCACTCACCGTCCTTCCCCACTCACCGTCCTTCCCCACTCACCGTCCTTCCCCACTCACCGTCCTTCCCCACTCACCGTCCTTCCCCACTCACCGTCCTTCCCCACTCACCGTCCTTCCCCACTCACCGTCCTTCCCCACTCACCGTCCTTCCCCACTCACCGTCCTTCCCCACTCACCGTCCTTGACCACTCACCGTCCTTCCCCACTCACCGTCCTTCCCCACTCACCGTCCTTCCCCACTCACCGTCCTTCCCCACTCACCGTCCTTCCCCACTCACCGTCCTTCCCCACTCACCGTCCTTCCCCACTCACCGTCCTTCCCCACTCACCGTCCTTCCCCAGAAAGTCCCCCACGAAGACGCTGTCGATGTTGCCGTGCTTTGCGCCCACCGTGATGCGAAGGTTGTCCGCCTCTTGCCCCAGCCGATACAGATAATCCTTCCCCTCGTAATCCTTCGCCTCCCACGACGACGCGTACCCGCCGCCGCCGCCGCCGCCGCTGGCGCTGGCGCTGTCGCCGTCGCCGTCGCGTGCGGCTGTCGCCGCGGCGGCCGCTGCTGCAGCTGCGGCTGCGGCTGCGGCTGCGGCTGCTCCCGCCGAGGCGCCTGATCCGTGGCCCAGGCCGACCGCGTCGCCTCCGCCGCTCGCGGTCACGCGTACGACGGGTCTACTTTGGGATTTGTGGCGGGAAATCGACGGGGCTGTATGCGCTCGACGCGCGCGGAAGAAACTGATTCTGGCGGAACCAAGACTGCGGTTGTCGGGCCCTGGCCAGACGGCACATTGCCTTCGATGCGCCTGGAAGGTAGTTACTTGGAGGGTGCATTGATGCAGCGAAGATGCTGGACAAGACGCCATGGGATAATCAAGCCGGTTTCCTAATTCTGGGGCCAATTCTCAAGAGTAGATAACTAAGGAGGTGTTTTGGGGAAGTGGAATGTGGAGGCTGAATGGTGTGCTTCAGTCTGTACGCGTTTGAGGTCGATATCCATTTTATCCGAGTCACTCACTCTCGTTCTGCATTCGGTTTGCTCGGTGGGTCAAATTATGTTTCCCATCTAAGAAAATACAGTTGCGAGTTTGACATTCGTTTTTGCACAGTGTATTCATTGACCCCCTTACAAGAACCAGTCTGAACCAATCATCGTGCGCGATCGCATCCACCCTGTCCCCTTGAACTTGTCCCGCTTCGCGGTGTAATCACGCTGGGCTTTCCCGCCCTTGAACTTGATCCAAGGCGGGATCAATCAATACAACAGTACGCTAAAACCATTCTCTCCATCGTCGACTATTGCCACCAGAAGAAAATCATCCACCGCGACTTAAAGCCCGAGAACTTCCTCCTCGCGAACAAGCGCGAGGACGCGCCGCTCAAGGTCACGGATTTCGGCCTGTCGGTGTTCTTTAAGGACGGCGAGGTGTTTACCGAGACGGTCGGCAGCGCGTTCTACGTGGCGCCGGAGGTGCTTAAGGGCAAGTACGGCAAGGAGTCGGACGTGTGGAGCTGCGGCGTCATTCTCTACATTCTCCTCAGCGGCGCTCCTCCCTTCTATGGATGTGAGTCGATCCAACGTAGTACATTGTTGCCGTGATGTTTCACATTCTCTTCAGCAGTGCTCCGTCCTTACCTGGGTTGTCAATCGGACTTAGCAACTCGCTTTTTTTTATACATATAACGGGGTGCGAGCAACTTCTGTGGATATAGTTCTTATTCTGAGACGTTTCTAAACCGGAGCATTCAAAACGCTCGTCATAGAGAGAATGCTGGACTATGAGTGTGAGTCTCGCCCTTTATCGCGATCCTGCGTCTGGTTTTTTAGCTCCGCAAGCAAAACGATACTAAGACAAGACATCTGTTCAGCGACAATAGTATCCAGATGGTTGGCCGCTAATGCGGTCCTCGAGAAGCAGACTCTCAACGCGTCCTGGTAGTGGTCTGCGGATCTCGTGGGCGAGCCGTGGCCGCGCATCAGCGACGCCGCATGCACTCCCCTCATACTTCTATCCACTCGTTTCCATCCTCTCTCCCCTCCTCCTCCCCCTTTCTCTGCTTCCTATTCCCTTGCTCCCCCTGTTCCCCCTGTTCCCCCCGTTCCCCCTCCCCTTCAAACCCCCCTGCTGAACAATCCCCGTTCCCCCCTCTTCCCAGCGTCGGAGAAGCAGATTCTCAACGCGGTGCTGATGCGCAACGCGGACCTGGTGGGCGAGCCGTGGCCGCAAACAAACATCAGCGACTCCGCCTGCCGTCTTACTTTTCTTCCCGCCCTTCATTCTAGTCCATCCACGGTCTCACCTCCCCAACTCTCTGCTTTTCCCATTCCCCTGTTCCCCCTCCCTCCCTACCTCCCTCTCCCCACCTCCCCCCCAACGTCCCCTTCCCCCCATTCTCAGCGACGGAGAAGCAGATATTCAACGCGGTGTTGAAGGGCAACGCGGATCTGGCGGGCGAGCCGTGGCCGCACATCAGCGATTCCGCCTGCTCTCCGCTCATTCTTCTTTCCACCCTCGTTTCCATCCACCCTCCCCTCCTCCTCTCCCCCTTTCTCTGCCTCCCATTCACCTGCTCCCCCTGTTCCCCCTCCCGCCTTTCTCCCCGCCCCACCAACTTCGCTAAACAAACTCAACTCCCCCTTTCCCCCCCAGCGACGGAGAAGCAGATTTTCAACGCGGTGCTGAAGGGCAACGCGGACCTGGCGGGCGAGCCGTGGCCGCACATCAGCGATTCCGCCAAGGACCTCGTGCGCCGCATGCTCACGCTCGACCCGCACAAGCGCATCACCGCCGCTGACGCCCTCCGTGAGTGCCTGCTGTCTGGCGCACTGGGTTGGGTTGGGTTTGGTTGGGCTGGGTTGGGCTGGGTTGGGTTGGGTTTCGCGGTCTGTCACGAGCTTCTGTGTCTATAGTTGCATAAGGGTCTCGTGCGCCGCATGCTCACGCTCGACCCGCACAAGCGCATCACCGCCGCCGACGCCCTCCGTGAGTGCCTGGCTGTGGCGCTTGCATTGGTTTGGGTTGGGTTTGCCTGGTTTGCCTGGTTTGGCTGGTTGTTATGTGTTTTGAAACGCTGCGGAACGCGCATCACCCCCCAAAATTCCCCCGTTTCCCCTCGTTTTCCCCTCGTTTTCCCCCGCCCCCTTTCCCCCTCCCTCTGCTCCTCCCCATGCGCGCAGGCCATCCGTGGGTGGCGGCGGACAAGGCTTCGGACAAGCCGCTGGGCGCGGCCGTGCTGAAGCGCATTCAGAAGTTCAGCGCCGCCAACAAGATGAAGAAGCTCGCTCTCAAGGTGAGCGCAGAGTGGAGTGTGGTTGAGAGGAGGAAATGTGGGTGTGGGAGTGTTTCTAAAGGAAGACCATTGTCTTAACGCATGTGCTGATGTTTTCTCCTGAGCACCACCATACCATCCAACCACCCCGCCAGTCATCTCCTTTTGCACACCAGTCGGTGGCACTGCAAGTTTTGAGACGTCTCAAAACACTGTAACACGATGATTTTCAGGCTGAACTCCAAGTTAAGAAGTTGCCTACCCCATTCCCCCCACCTATCCTCGTTTTGACGCCCCATCCTCGCCACCTCACCCCTCCATCACCACTTTTAACCTCACGTCGCCCACTCTTTCTCGCACCCCTCTCCCCCGCGTTTTCCCCCTCACGCCCTCCTGTGGTAACCAGGTGGTGGCATGCAACCTGTCACGCGAGGAGATCTTAGGGCTGAAGAAGATGTTCAAGGAGATGGACAAGGACGGCCCATCTCCCACCTGTCCTCCCAATCATACTCCCCATTGCCCACTCCTCCCCTCCTATCCCCCTCCATTTCTCCCCTCCGTCTGACCCTCCCCTTCTCTCTTCTTCCCCTCCCTTCCCGCGCGCCCTCCCCCCTCCCCTTCCTCTCCCCTCCCCTGTCCCTTCATGTGGCGACCAGGTGGTGGCGTGCAATCTGTCGCGGGAGGAGATCTCGGGGCTGAAGAAGATGTTCAAGGAGATGGACAAGGACGGCAGCGGCAGCATCACGTACGACGAGCTGCGCGAGGGCATGCGCCGCCTCGGCAGCCCCATCCCTCCCGAGCAGCTGCAGCAGATCATGGAGGCCGTGAGTGGCGTTGGCTCTTAGTCTCAAACGTGCTTTTGAGAGTCGTGTGGTGAGATTCGCCATCTTAGGATGAGGTGCCTGCCTCAGCAGCCCCATCCCGCCCGACCAGCTGCAGCAGATCATGGAGGCGGTGAGTCGCCTTCCGATGTCTGAAAGATTGAGTGTTTTCAGACTGTGAGGCTGTGTTGAGCTGAAATTCGCAAGCCTCGGACATCCCATCACACCCTCTCACATCACCCCAAACCTCCCCTTGCCCTCTCCCCTCCTCCCCTGTCCCCTTGTCCCTGCGCTCCCTTGTGTTCCCGCCGTCCCTTTGATTACCAGGCGGACGTGGACAACAGCGGCACCATCGACTACACGGAGTTCATCACAGCAACGATGCAGATGAACAGTGTCGAGAAGGAGGAGCACATCCTCGCTGCGTTCAAGCACTTCGACAAGGACGGCAGCGGGTGAGATGAGATGACATGAGATGACATGAGATGGCAGTGGGGTGAAGTGACATGAGACAGCACCTGGTCTCTGGCTGATAGCAGAAGGAGGAGCACATCCTTGCCGCGTCCAAGCACTTCGACAAGGACGGCAGCGGGTGAGCCTAGAGATGACATGAGATGGCGAGACGAGGTGAGAGACAGCACATAGGCCCTGGCCGCCTTCAAGCACTTGGACGAGGATGGCAGTGGGTGAGCCAAGGACGGTAGCTGGTGAGATGAGTTGAGATGGCAGGGGGGTGGGATGAGAGACAGTAGCTGGGTACTGGCGAGATGAGATAACAGGGGGGTAGAGGAGACGAGACAGAATTTGTCCTCACGCCCCAATGACTACAGGGGGTGAGACGCGATAGCATGGCGTTTACTCACCCATTAAAGCACTCTTGACAGCAACCCACCCATCCGCCCCTTCCCACCCCCTGGCCCCACGCCCACCCCATCCCACCCCATCCCACCCCACTCAATCCACCCTTGTGCACTCCTCCTGAGCACCCCCTCAGCTCCTTCCCTTCACTGTCCTCTCTTAACCTCCTAACCTCCCCTCCCTTCCCCTCTCCTCTTCCTCCTAACCCCTCACACTCACAGCAACATCGCAGTGAGCGAGTTGCGGGAGGCACTGGAGGATGAGGGAGGCTTATAAGTTATAACCCTCGTTATGTCCCTGTTGCACCCCCCCCCCCCCCCCCCCCCTCCCCCCCCCGCCTCCGCGCCTTAGCCTTTCACCCTCACAGCACCATCACAGTGAGCGAGTTGAGGGAGAGGCGCTGGAGGATGAGTGCATGCTGATTCTCAGGGTTCTTTATCCATTCCCTTCTCTCCTCGTCCTTTCCCTTCTGAACACCCCTCACCCCTCACCCTGACAGCATCATCACGGTGAGCGAGTTGCGGGAGGCGCTGGAGGATGAGGGCATGCTGGAGCCGGGGGATATCGAGCAGATCATCGAACAAGTGGACACGGACCGGGTGAGTTGATAGAGGGCATGGCATGAGTATCGGCAGTACACAATCGGGACATGAGCGATGTATCATGTACGTGTGGTGTGGTGTGGTGACGACGAGGGCATGCTGGAGCCGGGGGATATCGAGCAGATGATTGGGCAAGTGGACACGGACCGGGTGAGTTGATGAGGGGTTGGGGAGAGATGGGATGGCATGTGGAGTGAGTGGCAGTGCAGAGTGAGCGAACGTGTGTTTTGAGGGCATGCGGTGCATATGATGAGTGGTGATATGATGTGTGGTGATATGATGTGTGGTGGTATGATGTGTGGTGATATGATGTGTGGTGATATGATGTGTGGTGATATGATGTGTGGTGATATGATGTGGTGGTATGATGTGGTGATATGATGTGGTGGTATGATGTGGTGATATCATGCGACCCACGTGATGGTAAGACTCAGTTTGACGCTGTCATGATGAATTCTATGCAAGCTACACCACAAGCCTGAAAACAAACCTCTTTTCTCTTATCTCCCACCCTCCAGCTGTGGTTACAGAAACAAATTACTGCTACCAGGTGTGAATCCCAACATCATAAATCTTGAAATCTCTTTTCCTGCCCCATCTACGGTACCTTCCCTGCGTGTGGTAACAGAGCGGCACGATCGACTACGAGGAGTTTGCAGCCATGATGCGGCAGCAACAGGGAGGAGCGGCCGAGAAGCCCCGCCGCAAGCAAGGAATGTCCTCCGCCTACTACTGAAATACTGCTTATTGTCAGACAAATTCAGTGCACTCTTGCATGTAATTCTCTGGATAAGTTATTCTAGCTAGTGATTGGTGCTCTACTGTGGTACCGTAGGTAGGGTTTTGAAAGTTGACTGCTGCCTTCCAGCTATAGTAGCCCCTCCTGACTCAAATGGGTGCCATTGTTCAGACAGCATTTTATGGCTTTGCAAAATTTACGGGAAACTGATAGTGTATAAACCAAAGATACCCTAACAAGCTGTACTGTATGTATTTTAAGGGCGTGTGACATTTTTTATTTGTTACGTTAACGCTCGTCAAATAGCTCGTGAAGAAACGAACGGCGTCGTGCGCGTCCAGGCCCCCAGAAGTCAGACAAATTTCTCTGATTTGCCTAAAAAACTCATATATTTCAGCCTTTTTTCGAAGTGAACTCTAAAAATTCAGCCTTTTTTTGAAGAAAAACCAGGAAAAATGCGATTTTTTCTAGTGTGCAATGGTATTTCTGCAGGAAAAACTCTGTTTTTCAGAGTTAAGTCATGTACCAACTCTGAATTTTCAGACTAGCCCAAAACCAATCTGTGCGCGTCGCATTTTTCCCGTACGACGTTGTCTGTGTCGCAAAGCGAGTGTACGACGTCACCAGATTCGCAAGCATCCAGACGTACATTGCACTTATGTCAGGAATTTCTGTGATTTTGAAAAATGTCACATGCCCTAACATTTCTGACAGATATTGTGTAATTGTGAAAGCTTGCGATTTGCCTTGCAAATGCAACGTCTCATTTCAACTTGCAAATGCAACGTCTCATTTCAACTGGCAAGTACAAGATTTTATCGTCCAAGCATTATACAACAGAATAGCATTGTGCATCTTATGCTAGGGTGGGAGGGCGGGAAACTTGAACTTGAAAGTTCGAAATGAAAAACCTGGGTGAAGGCCAAATGGTCTTCGCCCCCTCTTTTGTACCAAAAAGAGGGGAAGTAGCGGTTCGCCGAAGCCTTTGCTTCGGTACAATTCGCTTCGCTATTCACAATACACAATTTTAGTAAGTGTTTCACTTTCAAAAATTTACATATTGTGAAAGCTTACGATTTGCCTTGCAAATGCAACGTCTCATTTCAACTGGGTCTTCTGAGACATGTGGAGAGGAGGTTGGCGGTGTCTCGTAATGGCGTGACGATGCTGTGAGGGGGAAGGTGCGTGGGCTTCATCCTGGATGTCGCGAGAAGCTGCGATAAGGTGTTGCTGCGAGATAGTCACATATAGGTCCTTTGCGGTCTCGCTTCGCCAACGCCCAAGTCGTTTGAAGATGCGATCTGGGACTCCCGCACTAGCTGCAACCGTGGCAGCTCCTTTGCGAAAGGAGTGGGTGCCAAGGTGTGTTGGGTCGATTCCTGCGGCTTCGAACGCTTGCATACACCATGTACGGATGGTGGTGTACGATGGGGCAGTGTCTAATGCGGACGGCGGCGAGCTGCGGCGGAAAACGCGGATCAGCGGCCCTTTGGATGTCGGTCCGTATTCCGCTAGCCAAATGAAATGGCGGGTGCACCTCACCGGACAGAGTGGTCCGTCAGTTGTGGCGACTGGGACCCATACACCCCTGCCCTCTTGGTCGGTCTTTGAGTGTGGGATTAGTAGCCACATTGCCGTTGCCTCGAATTGGATGTCCTCCCATTGGATAGCCACTAAGTCCGAGAAGCGCAAGAATGCTGAGTACATGAGCAACACGATGAGGCCTTTCTGATATGTGCCTGGTTGGCTCGATTGGGGGAATGGCCTAGCCATCGCGTGAACCTGATGAAGGGAGACGGGTTCCTTCACCCATGCTGGTCGGGGGCACTGTCTTTTGGTGTAATCGTGTACTTGTGTCGTGAACGGGCCGCATGTTGGGTTAGCGGAGCCTGTCATTCGGTGGGCGAAGCTAATCGCGGCACATGTGAGCTGCACGCTGGAGACGGTGGCCTTGTGGTTGATCGCATGCACCAGGTAGAGTGCGACTGTGAGGTCCGCGGCAGGCAGGAAGGCCGCTTTTGCCTTGACGCAAAAACTCCTAAACTTCTCCCAATAAGGTTCGTATGTGTTGATTGTTGAGTCGGACCGTGTCTGGGCCATCATTAACAGTAGCTGCTGATGCAGCTTCGGAATCATATCTGACATCATTATGAAAACAATGTTCATAGATTAGGAATGGAAGTTAATTTGAAGTGCAAGGATTCTGCTAACAGGGAGACCGGCTCCTGAGAATGCGCCAGTATGCGAACCGACATGCAAGCACTGGCTACCGCTAGCAAGACGCAAACACGATGTTACGCCGACTGCCCAGGTCTTGGGCGAAGGCCGGAGCAGGGGCCACCATGGAGCACCCGTCCATTCGAGAATGACTAGCGTCAGCGTCGCAGATGTGCGCGCGGCGTGGCGCAGGGTGGCCGGGATCAGGTGAGGAGGGGGAAATGCAAATCCGTGTTCTGGTCCCCAGTCCTGCGAGAAGGCGTTGACGGCAGTTGCACGTGGGTGGGGGACCTTCGAAAAGAAACGCGAGAGTTGCGCGTTATTGGCGTTTGCAAAAAGGTCAACCGTGTGTGGTCCCCAACGCCTCTCAAGTAATCGGAACCAAGGGAGTTTCAATGAATAGTCGTCGTTGTCTTCTAGCTTGGAGAGTGCGTCTGCCTCTACGTTGAGAGTCCGAGGGATCCATTCGATAGCCAGCCGAATTTCGTTTGCCATGCAAAGTGCGATGATGGACTTGCATAGGAGGGTGAGCTCGGGTTGCCCAGAACCACCTTTACGAAGAATGAAGAATACGCCCTGGTTGTCCATGCGCATGAGCACATGGCGGCCTTGAATTTGGTTTGAGAATGTGCGCAGGGCCCAGAGCACTCCTTCGAGCTCTCGGCGTGTACTCGAGGTGGTGAGGAGCTCGTGCGGCATTGGGCTGCTGCCTTGCAGGTTTTCTCCAGGGAACGAAGCTAGGGTCGCACCCCAACTGTGAGCACTTGCGTCTACATGAATCACCGTGTCGATGCTGTGGGGCATGTGAAACGGCGCCCCGTTAAAACGATCGAAATTGTCGAGCCAGAAGTTGAGCTCGTCACGAGCCTCCAAGGTCAGGTGTGTTCTGCCATTCCATGATGGCGCAGTATTGATGAGTTCTAGGAGTTGGTGACTGAATGCTCGTGCCGTTGTGCCAAGAGCCAGCGCCATGGAAGCGAGGATGCCGGTGACCCGTGCGACAAGGCGGATTGGTATCCGTTGTCCACGCTCGTAGGCGGTGAGAAGCACCCGGAGCGTATGCATGAGTTGCGCTCGACGTTCGGGGCCGATGGTGAATCTTCCTGATTGAGTGTCCAACTCCATCCCGAGAAACTGCAGTTTCTGGGTCGGGGTGAGGTGCGATTTTTTAGCGTTGATGACAAGGCCCGACTGTCGTAGGTCCCGAATGATTGCATTACGTGTCGCGCGTGCGTTCTCCTTCGATTGGCAGAGGAATAAGATATCATCCACATATGGAATGACTCGAGTACCTTGCGCACGCCATTTTCGAGCCAGTTGTTTGATCAATTGAGTGAAAAGGAAGGGTGCGGTTGCAAGGCCGAACGGTAACGACTTGAAGTAGTAATCCGTGCTGTCGAAGTGAAACCCCAGGAACTTCCAGCAGGTTGGGTGGATATCGACGTGATGGAGAACATCCAGTCGCCCGGTTGTGCCAACTCGGGGACTCGCGCCAAGCCTTCGTACTTGAATTTAGGAATAACGAGGTACTGGTTGAGTTTTCTCAAGTCCAAGATAAGGCGACACTTGTCGCGCTGTTCCACGACGTTTAGTGGACTAGTACATGCGACGAGGAGTGGGCCCTCTGCGACTGCTGCTGCACCGGACGAGAGCAAGTCGGAGATTGCCGATCATGATTCTTGTTACGAAACGACGGTGGTGGGGCCGCTTTCCAAGGAAGCCAATATCCATTTGCTATGACTGACAGGATGAGACTTCTCTCGCACCATGAAGCCCACCAAGCGAAAGCTTGGTGCGATCGACCCCCCATGGTGGTGACTTCCTTGTCAGTGATCGCATGCTCCATGGTCTTACTCCATTCGCCCGGTCGTGAGGGACAAGCGCCTGCCATGGCGGTTGGGTTGGATCAACAGTAGTCGTATCTCAACCCTTTTAGGTCAAGCCACAAGGCGCTATTCCAACGTGAACATGTTATGCGAGTAGAACGAGGAAGAGTTCATAAGAATCAATCAGACGAACGTTGTAAAAACGACATGAACATGTATCTCGCACCAACCAACTTCTCGCGTGCTTGTACATGCCCCAACAGCGAGGCATTAGAAACGTTGGAGGTAAGAGCAGTGACGCAGTTGCACACAATGATGTTCTACCGAATCATTCCCCTTCTCCCTCTCTCTCGTGCCCACAATGATGTTTTATTTTTGCCATGTGTGCTAGGGGGTGTGAATTGCAGGGTCTCACTCCCCTTGTCCTGTTAGAATCGTAGGCAAAAAGTGGTGTCGACTATCGAGAGGGTTGGTACAAAGAAGAAACCTAAGGGGTTGTACCCCACAGTGTGTACCCCACTAAGCCTACCCAAACTATAACATATATATACATATGTTTGACACACCCCCATAGGCAGAGTGGGGGAGAACAGAGGGTCACAAGACCAGTCAGGAAGTGCAAAGCAAGCTCAGGGTGGATCACAACGTCACCACGCAATCCGAGCACAAGCAAGAGGGCCACAAGGCCAGTTCACATGCAGAGATATATATGTAACAACAACAGTACAGTGATATCTACCTACAAGAACAAGCATGCAGGAATACATATAAATCATGGTACAAACAAAGCCTACAGCAAGTGAGGAAGCGTGGGCACAAGGCCTAACAAAGTGCAGAAACGCTGATGATCACCAGGCGGAAGTGCCTTGGTGAATATATCAGCAGTGTTGGCCCGAGTGGCCACGTAGGTAAGACGAAGCTGGCCACGCTGCTGCAGCTCTCGAGCAAGAAAGT